TACATATTTGGTGGAAGTTGTTACTTTCAACCTGCACATTTTGCATACTTTAATCTGTTTTTTGTTGTCCTCCGTGTAGTTTTTGTACACGAACAAAATGATCTTTGGTTAATTTTTTCCAGTTGCTAAGTAACGTAACGTTAGTTCTTCATGGTTTACTCCCCCAACATGATTAGATGCTGTCAGATCGGTTCAGACAAAGTGAATCATCTGTCAACTTCATATCAAAGTTTTCAATCTTTGGGCTTGGGGGAAGGTATCAAGTATTTAAAAGTCAAAAGGCTCAAGTCCAGGTGAAGTCACGAGTCACTGGTGTTAAAGGTCCAGTGTGTAGGAGTGTAAGGGGATATATTGGCAACAAAGGAATATAATATAATAAGTATGTTTCCTTTAGTGTATAATCACCTGAAAATAAGAATCATTGTGTTTTATTACCTTAAACTGAGCCGTTTGTATCTACATATAGAGCAGGTCGTCGTCTGTGGAGATTGGCATGTTGCACTGCCATGTTTTCAAAGTAGTCCAGAACAGACAACCCAAAAACTGGCTCTAGATAGGGACATTCGCGTTTTTGCATCAGCCACCATAGTTAGCAGCCACTCTGTGAGGAGAGCGTTGGAAAAACACTAATTTTTTTTTTTAACAAGAAACTGTTTTATTCAGTGTTTTTTACCACTTTAAATCACCTGGTCCATTTGTTTTGGAGAGGAAGAGATCTCTGCTGATTATTCTGCTCCTGGTCAAAACCTCCTGAACGATGAACACTCTAATTTTAACCAGGATAAATTTCAGCTGGTTGCAAACTGTAATCCTCACCACTAGATGCCACTAAACCCCCCTAAATCTTACACACTGGACCTTTAAAGTCAGTCCACACCTCTGCTAATTTGAAATGTTAATAGAAATGGCAGCCCACTATTCCTGCTAAATGTCTGTGATGCAGCATTAGCTGTTGCATACAGGGTTTTTTAAATTATGCAGATCTTCCGTGCATCCATGTTTCTCCGAGATGTTTCTGACCTGGATTTCCAAACTGAAAAACTGACATTTTTATGACTTTAATTGGAACACGACTTTATTCCTGGGTGGAAATCTGCTTTTTTGTTTTCCTGTCCTTCTCACCTCGGTCGTGTCTGTCTGTCGGATGATGAGGGGTGTGTGTGTGGTGGTTGGTGGTTTTGAACGGCTCTTGGTGTTTGTGGCGGCCCTCTGCTCCTTCCTCTCTCAGCTTCAGGGCCACAGATCAGTGCAGAGATCACAGATTTAAGAGTTAAGGATTCACGTCTTCTTCTCTCCCACTTATCTCTTCACACCCTCGTCCCACTAGACTGCAGTGAAGCTTCAGGTTTATGTGAGCGAAGCCGACGTCTATCTGACTCGCTTCATCCTCAGATATGTAAACTCTGAGGGCGACACCTCCAATGGTAAAATAACAGCCTATCAGGTCAACCGCAGAGGTAGGTGTCCACCAATCACAAGAGAGTGTCAGTGTGTGTTTCTGACTGTGTGAAGAGATGTATGAGTGAGTGTGTGTGTTTCATGTTGGATGCAAATCTTAACCAAACACAATCTCAATATGCTACCATTCCATTTATAACATTTTGATTAGTTTTATTCTTTAAAAATGGTTTTAGTGTTGTTAGTTTGTTATGTTGCCCAATTTTCACATTCGTTTCCATCAAGTATATCTACAGTATTCACATAATTCTTTCTTTTGATTGCAAGTTTTGATATCTAACACTATAAACTCCTGGTGTGTGCTTTGTAGGTTCAGAGCAGTCCAAGCAGATCGTCTTTGCTCCCAGTGTGGAGCCCACTTTTGTCAACGTCCCCCAAAATAACTTTGTGGAGCCGTTTGTCCTGAACCCGGGGACCTGGACTGTGGTTATAGAGGCTGAAGGAATCTTGCTGGTGAGACACACACACACTACACACCTGTTTTTACACATGTATAAAGACACGTTTGCATCTAACAGGTGATGCAGAGCTACTTTAGCACAGACAGCCGAGAGAAATGCATTGTCATGTTTTGCCGAGATGAAGACCAGAGTATTTAATCCACCAGAACTCCCATCAGCATGTCAGCGCTGTGTTGGTTGACACAGTGCTTGGATTCATATACGCAGTAACACTGTCTCTGCTTCACCTTCAGGATTACCTGGTGCTGCTGCCCAGCGCCTACTACGAAGCTCCCATCCTGCAGATCAAAGTTACTGAGCCCTGCACCTACAGCTCTGCGCCTGACGCCAGCCACAAGTAAATATGCACATATGTGTTATTCGCTGAAATCAGGTCATCAGTCAGTGGAGAGGTCATAAAGTCTGTCTACCCCTCTCTGACGCTCTCTCTCTGTGTCCGTCCAGCTGTCTGCAGTACAGATATTTGTCTCTAGACTCCTTCCCCTCCATCTCCGGTAACGACGCCAGCTGCCGCAACGACAACCACCTGCCACGTCCCTGCCCCAATGAGAGGGTCACCCCACGCCACCCTGACATGGCCGTCTGCAGTGGCTTTGATGTAAGAGAGGGACAAAGGGAAAATGTTTGTGCGGTATGCATGTTGGCTTTTAGAATCACAGAGACTTATAAAGGCCGGACAGCTTCGCGCTCATTTGTCCAAACTTTAGTACGAGCTGAGTTTTAATAACTGTTGTCCCTGTTTTTACTTCAGATCAACGTCGAGCTGCGAGGTCGTCTGCCGTCTCCAGGTGATTACGTTCTGGTCGTAGAATATTCCAGCGAGGAAGAACTTCCACAGACTCTGTCTGTCGCTGTGAACATGCCTGGAGCACGAACACACAAGCACCGCGTCATCCTGCTGCACTGCAAATACAGGTATGGAGAACATCTGTCCTCAGATTCAAAGACTCTTCCTGACGTGCTTTCTTATACATTAAAATTTTTTCCTAAGAGTACACTGATCTTTGATTATTTACAGAAACGTGGAATAATAAAGAGATCTGGAGTGGACAGATCAAAAAGATGTCTGTTTGTAGTTGTCCATTTACCATCCTATTTTAAAAAAAAAGATTAATTCAATTCAAGCCAGTAATACCTGACGTGTATAGAGGACAGAAGCTGCAAAAATAAATAAATAAAAAATAAAATGAAAAATAATAATGAATTCAAAAATACATAAATAAATTCTAAAAATGTTTTTAATTGTGTGCAAAAATAAATGATAATTAAAAAAAAAGATAAATATAAATAAATAAAAGTGAGAATTAAATTAGATGGTAAATAAATAGAGTAATCAATACAAAGGTAAATAAAGAAGCAAATTAAAATATGTATAAATCAATTTATTAATGTCTACATTTATTTTTAATATTATTTTCAGTCCATTTACTGGCATATTAACTTATTTATCAAGTCATTTATTTATTTATGGATTTTGGCAGCTTCCCTCCTCCATACTGTCTGCTCTATGGGTACTTATTGCCCCACCTGACCAGTATTACTGCTGTTTGTAATGATGGTAAACCTGCAGGTTTTGTGGGATTTACAGACTGTACTGTATGAAATCTGATGATTTTTTTTTTAAGAAAAAAAAAGACATAATTGACACACAGGAAAAAACAACATGAAACAACAAATTATGTTCTGATTTAATTTTCATATCATGATAGATTGAAGAGCAGCACACCAAAGAACAAACTAACAGCTGAGAAAATTAATTTATTAATCATAAAATGATGTCTTGTTGAAGACACTCACAGATTAAAGTAAAAAAATAGTAAAAATCACCAAAAATTAAAAAGTTTTGTGACATTTTCAGACAAAATTTAAAATAAAAATAAAATGCAATAAATTTATGTTTCCAGTTTCAGGCGTCATTTTACACCGCTGTCATTTTCACATTAGACAGTTGTGGATATGATGCAGAATAACAGTTGAAACTGAACCCAAGTAGATAATTGTACATCAGCGGTATGAATGTGAGGATGAAACATGTGTCCCGTCCAAACAGTGTTTGTTCCGTCTGCAGTGAAACGTGTGTGTGTTTTACAGTGATGTGTGGACTCAGCTGGTTCACAGTTTACTGAGACTGTCTGTGCTTTATCAAGTATGTCAGCAGCTCTTAATCACAGTGTGTCTGTGTTTGTTTGTGTGTGTGTTTGTGCAGCTTCCTGTGTCGAGTCGTGGCCATCGATGAGCAGAACAGAGTGGCCGTCTTCTCTCTCCCCGCTGACGTCGAGATCCAGCTCATCTCCGACCGCGCCAGCTTCTTCCTGGTGAGAGCAGCAACCACGTCACGTTTCCAAATAAATAATCAATATGTGTTTTTGATGTTTTACTTTAATGATGTATCAACCATCTGTTGAGTGATCGATCTCTTCTGCACTTGTGTTTCTTCACTCTCTTCTTCAGCACAAAGTTTACCTGGTGCCTAAAGACCAGTTTACGATGGGGTATGTTGAACCTAACGTCCACTGCATCAGCACTCACGGACAGTTCTCACCTGACAGGTAAAGTTACTTGTAATCACTGTGCTCTCACTCCTTTATAAATACTTTTTAAAAATACTTTAACCTATATTCGTCTCCTCTGTTTCTGCAGTTCCTCCTGCGTCCCCTCGCGCTTCCAGACTCCGTCAGACTCGCTGGTCCTGAAGGAGGGCCAGAGCTCCTCCATGCAGGAGCCCATCCTTGCCTCCCCTGCAGCCGCTCCTCCTCTGCCCTTCCGCCGGAGAGACGAGCCGTCATGGACGGGAGGAGACCGGCCTCCACATGGAGCCGATAACAGCAACCACGTCAGGCTGGACTCACTGCAGGTACAGACTGTGATACAGGTTAAACATGTCACTGAGAATATAAAGTTGTTAAAATGAGGTTCACCTGGAGCAGCTGCACAGAGGAACCTGAAAGTTTTCTTCTACAATTACTGTCGTGCTTTGGATTTTGAGAGCAGATGAAATCTGAACCAACTGTAGGAAATGATTCCAACATGCAAAGGTTTATGGGTATAAGGAAACAGATGTTAATGTCTGATAGCCAGCAGGTCCTCATGACTGTGGACGAGTACAATCTGGACTCACACATAATTCAGGCATTTGGTGAGGCGTTCCTATCTGCTATGGACACCTGACATCTTGGACTAAATCCATGCAGAGCTTCAGTTACAGGACTTTGTTTTGATCCTGACCTCTGATGCCACGTAACCGTAAACTGTGTCAGACGATAAAAAGGCAACATGGTAAATCGATCTGCTGTGATTCAAACCTTAAAAAGAATAATCTGTAGCTTTTCCTGAGTGAGATTAGAAATCGAGACGCTCAAGGAAAGAGCAAAAACCTGGATTTTGGTTATAGAATTTCCCCACTTTGGGATCAGTAATTTATCTTATGTAAAAATCACCATCACCATCCTTATCTTCCATCTCTTCCTCCATCACCCCTTACCCAGAATGCAGCGCAGTACTCCACCCGTGTCCACGCCCTGGGACGTTACGTCTTCATCCTCCACTATCACCAGCCGCTCCACCCCAACTATCCCGTGCAGGTCTACCTTAACGCTGGACGAATCTGGCAGGGTAAGATGTTTATGACTCTGTGGACGTTGTAAAGTAAATACATAACAGTGAATGAATAATAATAAATGCATTTAAATACAGAAAATATAGATTAATCGTTTTCTTGTCCATCAGGCCACGCCAACGCCTCCTTCTGTCCACATGCGTATGGCTGCCGAAACGTCCTGGTCTCTGAGAATCAGATCATTCTGGATGTGACAGATCACGAGGTCTTCCTCACCGTGCAGATACCTGCTGGCAAGACGCTGTGGCTGGTGCGTGTCACTGCCCTGATTTTATTTCTCTCCTTTAATTTTCAAAATGATGCTCCTCTATCCTCTCCTTATATTTGACCTCCTCTCTCTTAACTGTTGAACACAAATATTTGTAGGTTTTCCTCTTCTTACTTTCTGTATTTAAACAAAAACTGGTCGTCCATCTTTTCCAACCTCCTCCTCCTCCTCACTCTTCAGTCTTCTCACCATCTTCTCATTATTTTCATAATAAAAGCACAACACCTTTGTCAGGGACACTTCTATTTTTCTGATGCTACTGCTTTATTCAAGTTAAGCTAAGTTCACACCACATGACTTTCAAAGTCGTCAGATCACTGCAATCTTCACACCACACCACTTGATGACCAGCAACCGTTAAAACAATCTTTAACTTGGAGGAATTCTCGATGAGTACATCATATGATGCACAGGTTGAGGGTTGCTCAGTAGATAATATCATAGTCAACAAGTGACAAAGCAGCGTTCTGAGTATGTTATTAGGCTAATAACTTCTAGAAACTTTGCGTGCAATAGTCCACCTTCTCTTTCAAACATGCCCCCACACACACCTTGGCACCGCTTGTCTCTGTCCTCAACCTGAGACTTGCACTCTTATTGGCTGTAGCTCGCTGACAAAGTCACAGATCCAGATATTTAGCCTCGATATCTGAGTAGCATCTGCAATGTGTTGGTGAGCGTCTCTGCACATGTCTGTAAACAGTTCGCATGAAGTGTCGGTTTGCCTCCAGTCCAGGGCTTTTGTTGAGGAGCTGTCACACAAAACTTTTTTGTTTGTGTTTCGAATCTGAAATAAAAGCAGAAAGATATTCTTGTTGGAATCTTTTATCCTGTGCCATTTTTTCTCCCAAGACTTAACGCAACAAATAAAGAATTTATTCCCTCCTCTCTCTCTCTCTCTCTCTCTCTCTCTCTCTCTCTCTCTCTCTCTCTCTCTCTCTACCTTGACTCTCCCTCCATCGTCTTCTAATGTGTTTAATATGCTGTGTGTCTTCAGGATTATGTTCTGGTTGTGCCTGAGACGAGCTACAGCTCCAGCTACCTGAACGAGGAACCTCTGGATAAATCATATGACTTCATCAGCAACTGCGGCCAAAACAGCTTCTACATCAAGTCAGTATCTTAGCAGGAGGAAGTTCAATATGCAAGAATGTTTTCGTGTTACCTTTTTTAAGCAAGGAAAACAACACCATCAAAGTGTCATTATTTACTTAATATCGACGAGTTTCCAAAGAATGTGAATTAAACACCCTTCCTCTCTCCTCCCTCCTCCCTCCTCCCTCTAGTCCTTCCACGGCCTCTCCATTCTGCCTCAGCTCGGCGGTGTCTCTGTCAGCCTTCTTCAACAACGGGGCGATGCCCTGCGCCTGTCATGAGGTCGGAGCCGAGAGCGACACCTGCGAGCAGTTCGGCGGTCAGTGCCACTGTAGGCCCAACGTGATCGGCCGAGACTGCTCCATGTGCGCCACGGGCTACTGGGGATTCCCCAACTGCAGACGTGAGTATCTGATTGTCATGCTCATTATAAATGTAAACCAAACAGCTCCCCTCCAGGGCTGCAAAATGAAGTCCAGGGTAAAGTGCCAAAAACTGCAGTTCCTCTAATGACCACAGACCCCCGTGTTAAAATGTCCAACTTTACAGTAGAAATAAACACAGCCTGGTACAAAAAAATGGTTTAGGCCTGACAACTGTACAGGGGGGATTTTTTTTTTGAGTGACCGGCTGTCTGCCAATTGTGTCCTGGGGCTTTCAGTCAGATCCACCCCTCGCTGCTCCACAGCTCCACCCTCACATCCACATATGGTCACTCCTGACTCCAGTGAGAGCCAAAATGCCAAAGTTGTGGCTTCAAAACAGGAGTCCGCAAAGGAATCATCAAGGATCATGGAAAATTAAAGTAGTTTTGTTTCTGTCTCTCTTCTTCCTCCTTCCTGTCTGTCTCTCAAGTGTTTGAGCCACCAACAGAGGAATGTATTTGTCTTTCAGTGAGTTCAGTCTTCTCTGTAACTAACTGTATCCCCCCTTGTCTCTCCTCCAGCCTGTAACTGTGGTACGAGGTTATGTGAACCGGTGACTGGCGACTGTATCTGCCCTCCGAGGACTGTGCTCCCAGAGTGCACCCAGTGTGAGCCCCAGACATTTGGCTGCCACCCAGTGGTGGGGTGTGAGGTCTGCAACTGCTCCCGGCCGGGCATCGTCTCCCCCGATGTGAGCTGTGACACCCTCAGCGGACAGTGCAGGTACGAGACGACGAGGCTGGGGAAATAATGACGGATTATTGCTAATGTTATTATTATCAGGAACATCCTCTCTGGCTCAGTATCGAGCAACAGAAGCAGACCAACTTTCCCTCTCGACAAAATTTAAATAATCAGAACAATAACGTCCATTTCTTCTCAGTTTAATGTTTTTCATTTCCTCCGGAAGCCATAAATCATCCTCTGCTCCCCACACTGCTACAGCCTTGTATTAGAGGACAAGATTTCGGGTTTACCAAGTTCAGCTCCGAAATGTCAGGCCTTTGTTTGGAAATACCTAAAAAGGCAGTTATTTCTTGCCCGTTTTGTCTCCTGACAGGATCTTGGCTCTGACTCTCTCACTGGGTTGATTGCTGAGTGTTTGGCCAGCTGTACTTGCCAACTCTTGTCTGTGCTCTGTCGGAGCTGCAGGTTTTAAAACTTTGCTCTCTGATTCTGCTGCCAACAACACAGCAGCTGTCTGTCCTCATCCTTACCTGTCTGTCTGTCTCTGTTATTCCTCCCTCGATCTTTATATCATGATTATGGGCCCCGTGTGATACTGTATGTCCGTCTTTGTTACTGGAGACTGCTAGTCAGCATCTGTTTTGTCTACAAGTACAATGTTAGTTGCAGAGGCAGCTTACATTCATCAGTTATAATACGAAATGTGATCCCTTGTGGGCCTGATAAGGATCAAAAGTAGTTGTAACATTTCACTTAACTTGATCCCTGATGAGATGAACGCGCTGTTACAGATCTTTGCCTCCAGTGATCAAATGGAAAAACACGTCCCTGAAACTTTAAATTAACTGAAATTATCTGAGAAACTGGGATACTCTGAACATCCGAATTCAAAGGAATAAGGCCATGACCCGTCTCATGAATGCATATCTGTATGATAAATATGAAGCCAGAGCCGGCAGGACATTAGCTTAGCTTAGCATAGAAACTGGAAACAAGGAGAAACATACAGCCTGGCTCTAGCTCTAGTTCCAGCATGATACTTAAACCTCAAATGTTTGTTTTTACATGTCAGTGTTGGTACAGATTCAACAAACAATATACAACTTGAGACTTGCTAACACACAAGCAGATGTTGCTAAAGCTTAACTAAAGAAACAGAAAATGCAGATTGTTGTTAGTTGCTATGGTGACACACATCAGTGGGGCTGTGAAGTGTGTCACACTCACGAGTTTGAGGACTCCTGTTTTTACACCCATGTTCTGCACTAAACAGAAAAATACAACTGATCCACGTTTCTCTCTGTCACCGTACTAAGGCTGACGTTTGCTTCATTGCCTTGTTAACACATCATAAAACACACTTTATTCAAACTTGATTGTAACAAAGTAAAAGTCACCAACACTGTCTCAATTAGTCATGTTCGTCACCTGGTTAGTTAGTCCAAAAGTTTATATGCAGGTTAGCCCACTACAACAGTTGCAATGCCAATGGTACACATAAAATGGGCCACTGCTCCGATCATCCTGCTACGTTGATGTGAATCAGAATGTCCGTTCTATTATCACTCTATTTCTATGAGCTAAACTAATATCTGCTGGGGTGCCCAGTAGCTCAGTAGGTATATTTGATTTCATTCTGTAGCACTTTACTGTTAGTCATCCCCTCTCTTATTCCACCTTTCATGCTTCAAATCTTACCTGTCATTAAAAGGTAAAAAGGCCCCCCCAAAAAAATCTTTAAACTAATCGTCTGCTGGCTCTCGCTCAACAGATAGTCGACAAACATCCCAGCAAGCAATAGTCGTGATTTAAACGTATTGGCTATATTTAGCTCCGGTTTAGTCTAGCTACATGTAACCCAAATCTAGCCGATTTAATTTTGAAATTGATTAAATGTAATTTTTGCCATTGCAGATGGCGTGCGGTATGATATTCAATCACGTATGGAGAGTCAACAGTAATTAAAATATGTTTATCTCCATTTTTTGGACATGGTCTCTATATAGCCGTATAATTGATGACGTCTACACTTTGGCTATGGTTAGACGTCTACCAAATTTTCACTGACAGCCCAAATTCAGCCGTGATTTAGCCTAGACGTCAGGTCTTCATGTAGACGGCTATTAGACGTTTTTTAAACCAAAAAAAGCTTGCTGGGATGAGAGTGGCATCTATGTTCTCATCTAACTCTCTGCAAGAATGTGAATAAGATTATTTTCTGAAAAATTTCCTTCAAGCTTAACATTTCACACCCTGAGTGACAGCGAGCTGAAAGCATGGAGGGATTCCTGAGAGACAACGACAGGACAGAGAGAGGCGGTTTCTTCTGTAACCTTCAGGCTGTTACACCCACTATTCAAACCAAACAGCTACAAATATAAAGTCTGACCTGATGCTGTCATCATCGTACAGTAACCACGGCTGTAAACTTAAGACCTGACAACTGAATTTGTGATTTAAATCATTATAAAGTAAAGAAGGTGCAGCTTAGTAGAACATAAGCAAGACACATACTTCACCTTTCTCCTCCACACTAATCAACACGTTGAGAGTCCTCTTCATACTCACTGTCCGCAGATATCTGCATGTTGACCTCTCTGTCTCCACGTGTTTGTGTCTGTCTCTCTAGAAATGTCTTTGCATCTGTCTTCAAAACCACTGACCTCATTTTTCCATCTTCTGTCACTGCTTCCCTCAGCCTTTCATTTTTGGCCCCTCACTGTAAGCATCAAGGAATTCAAGATATCTTAAATTACTGTTATCCCCCCCTCACACACACACGCACACACACACACACACACACACACACACACACACACACACACACACACACACACACAGAAGAATGTGTCAGCTCTGTCCGGACAAGACAGGGATGTAAAGCTGAAAGTGTTTCTCTGCCTAAAGGCTCTCATCACTCACCTGGTATTTACACATACACACAGTTGAGTTTATCCTGCAGTCGGCTGCCAGTGTATCAACTCAAAATGTTTATGATTAATCAGTCAGTTATGATGTCAGTTATTTCCTGCAAGATTGAAAGACTTGTCATCACATCAGGGTCAAAGTTTGTAGCTAGATTTATATTTGATAACTAGACTTAGACTGATTGATTTTTTGTCATTTGATTAAAAGAATTTTTTTTTTTTTTTTTTTTTTTTTCCCCAGGTGCAAGAACAACATTGTCGGGCGCCAGTGTGACCGCTGCGCTCCCGGTTTCTATGGTTACCCCAACTGCAGACTGTGTGACTGCAACGAGGCAGGAACCGAAGAGGAAGTGTGTGACTCCTTCACGGGACAGTGTCTCTGCAAGGTGGGGCAACACGCACACACACACACTCACACTCACACACACATCCTCCTGCACCCACAGAGTGTCCTGACCTGTTGTGTGTCCTCCACTTGCAGGAGAACGTCCAGGGTTCCCGATGCGATCAGTGCAGAGTTGGTACGTTCCACTTGGACCCAACCAACCCGAAGGGCTGCACCAGCTGCTTCTGCTTCGGAGCCACCGACCGCTGCCGCAGCTCTGAGAAGAGACGCATCGAGGTGCCCGTGTTCGGTTATTTTAACTTAACACCACAAACGCTGTCACCTTTCTCTCAAGCTGTTTCCAGGATGTTATAAAAACCTCGCTGACTTTCATTTTAAAGTTCATCCACGGATCAACTTGTGCAATAAAATCAAAATCCAGAAGATAATTAACATTTTTTAGCCGTTATGATGCAGTTCACAGAGAGAGAGAGCCTTGATTTCAAATCCTGATGGTCGGCTTCTGTACAAGTAGAGATTGTGTCTCTGTTTCACCCTTGCTAAAACATTGTTGTCACAAACAGTTATTGGTATGCAGATTATTTTCTAAATTAGCTGATCATGGCTGGAATGTTAGTTTCCCAGAGTCCAAAGCGACATCTTTAAAGGTCCAGTGTGTAGGCTTTAGTGGGATTTATTGGCAGAATTGAAATATAATACTCATAGCTTTGTTTTCATTAGTGTATAACCACCTGCTAAAACTAAAAATGATGTTTTTGTCAGATTACAACGAGCCCTCATCTCTACATTGTCCTTATTCACGGGGTCTGACTCGTTGTGTTGCAATGTTTCTGCAAAAGACTAGCTAAATCCTACACACTGTGCCTTTTCGGGTGTTTTCACATAACGTCCCTTTTAAAGAAACTGATCTCAGTCCTCTTGAAGTGCACCAAAAAATGAACCAACAGAAAAAGGACTCAGTTCTTTTTGTGTTCACATTGTCAGTTCATTTAAAAATGGACTCTTTCTGGTCAACTTCAGCTCTGATAGGGACCCAGTCTTCTTTCTGTTCACACTATATATGATATATATTGACATAGTTTTGTTTTTTCTTTGACGTGGCACTGCAGTGCGATTTTTGAAGCCCCGCGCTTTCAGATGAACTTAAAATTGGAGGAACAGCTCAGTGTTTGTGCTGTAGACTGTTGCTATGTGATGTATTCTACATTCCACATCTGGAAACGTGTGGTATCTTCTGAGGACCAAACTACTCCTCGTCCTGCGTCCTTACAAGCGTTACAGGCCGACGTGTGTTCTTTCTGTCTGTTCTTTCAAGTGTCCCAGGTCAACAGCATATGATCTAGAGGGCTAAATACAAAGGCAAAGTGAACCTGGAGCGTTTTGTGTTCACATGGACTTGAAGCAAACTGAACTCAGACCACCCCCCAAGTTGGTCTGAGTTTGGTTCACTTCAGAGGGGAGTCACCACTCTGAGTCCACTTAGAGAGCTGAAAAGGACCAAGTGTGAAAACACCCTGAATGTCCCCAATTATATCGGTACATTGACTGCACACGTATAGCTGCTTTCTAGTCTTCCGACTACTCAAAGTGCTTTTACATTACGTCACATTCAGAGGTTAACATACATGGTGCCACCTGCTACTCAGTCGCCATTCACATGCTCTCACAGACAGATGGAACAGCAACCGTGAGCATTTCTGCTTGAAATATTAATGAAGTGATGAATTGATCATCAACATAGTTTCTGGTTATTTTCTCTTGATCGATTTATTTATAACTGTTTGAGCCCCAGCTGTTAAATATTTTAGATTCTCACCTTTATTATTCTGATATTTCACTTATTTGAGTTGCTGTCGAACTTCCTGCTGAGTGTCATTGCTGTCTTAAACGCTCCCACTCAGAATTTATAACGTTAATATTCTCTTATATTAGTCATGTTGATTTGTTGCCTTCAGATGTTACAGAAACAAAGTATTTGCATTCTTCTCTCAGCATGTTGTGAACAGGTGTTGATCTCCTCTCTCTCGTCGTTCTCCTGCAGGTGATGAACATGGAGGGCTGGGTGTTGCTGGGAGCAGACAAACAGGAAGTGCCGGTCGCAGTGTATCCTGGTCAGGACCTCGTGGAGGCCGATCTCAGCGACGTGCCCGACGTTTACCAGGACCTCCACTGGCACGCACCAAAGACTTACCTGGGAGACAAGGTAAGAGGGGACAGATGTCCTCTGAGGATGGTGGGAGAAGTGAATAGATTCTGAGTCTTACTTAGATTCAAAATAATTTATTTGTCAAGAAAGTTTGCAAACACAAGTACACATAAACATTTAATTCACTCTTTATTTAAGTGAGATTTTTTCTGCATCATAGAGGATCTTTGTTCTTCAGTGACTGACAGTGTGGGTGTGTGCTTTTTAAAACTCACACTCCGGCACTCTGACTGCAGTAAACTCATGAGATGCATATCAACAGCTTCACTGATAGAAATAACAAGTTAGACATGACCAGGCAAACTGGGCTTGTTGGAATCTTTTGTTGAAACAACTTTAAGCCTTCAGTGACTCTTTGCCTTCTTAAACCAGCTGCGTTGTGGAAGAAGTTTATTTATCTTATCAGTCTGTATTTACCCGGGGAAGGTCGACAGAGGATGTCTCGCATAGATGCAAAGTAAACTCTTTCCATCACCACTTCTATCTGTGCCAAGTCGTACCATACCGATTTGTCTTTCCATTGCCAGTTTACACGTGCCGAGCCACACCAGAGATAGACCATCTCTGGAGGAGGGCCGAAAGCGCGCCTGCCTGCCTCTAAGCAGGTAGTGGTGACATCTTGCCGACCCCTGACGACCCCCCTTTTCCTCCTGAAACAAGCGTGTGTGTTGCAAGGCTCAGCGAAGGCTGGTTTTGTGGATTTGGAGCTAAATCAGGGTTTTCCCTGGGTGTTTTCGAGACCAAGGTGGCAAAAGCCTGTGGCGGGGGGCATCTTGACAGCTGTACTTTTAGATACGGTCCCCCCTCCATTAAATATGAAAGGAGGCTGAAAATCACAGGACATGTCTGTTCTGATGACACAAGTCAGCGGTGCTGAAATGTGTGTTTCTCGTCTATGATACACATTCTACATCTTGGAGGCGACGTCTTTCCATATACGGTCTTCCTTCGCCTTTTTAGCGGGGCAGAGCTCCGTGGGAAACAGTAGGAGAGACAGACCGAGGGAGAACCGGGATCTGACACAACACCGGAGGGAGAAGCAGGTCCGTGGAGCTGTGCGCCGGATGAAAAAACAAGCGCGTCGCACCGTTGTGAGCATGCATGACGCACGTCTACATTGAAAGTAATGGGTTTGTGCGCAAAAGACGCTACATCTGAACGCCCCCCATGCACACACACACTTTAACCAAGGCGGTGGTCAAAATCACCCAGGTGGCTGGCCTTTGTCTTAGATAGGCAGGGAAAACCCTGTAAACCCTGTAAATAGATGTCTGTACAACATCTATTGCTGTATACTGTCCATCCTGGAAGAGGGATCCCTCCTCAGTTGCTCTTCCTGAGGTTTCTACCGTTTTTTCCCTGTTAAAGGGTTTTTTTGGGGAGTTTTTCCTTATCCGCTGTGAGGGTCCTAAGGTCAGAGGGACATCGTATGCTGTAAAGCCCTGTGAGGCAAATTGTGATTTGTGATATTGGGCTTTATAAATAAAATTGATTGATTGATAAATGTTGTGCCTGGGGCACGTCGTGTATTAATAATACTCGTCACCTGGAGAGGTTGGAAAAAGATATACGTTTCTTCCCTGTTCCAAAACCAAAATCAAACCCTGAAAAGTGTAGGGTTAGGTCGTCCAGTAGCACAGGTCCAGGTGCTGGCAGCAGCACGGGGGTGAAGCCAAGCAGTGTTCATCTGCACACACTGTGATGCCACACAGCTGGTTCAATATCAGCAAAGTTTCCCTTTATATTCATTGTCTTGTGTGGTGATCAGCAGTGATGTGGTGGTTCACTTTTACACTGTGATCTGTAGCCTATAGTTCGGCTTTAGCTTCTAACTATCTTTGTCTTTTTAACCTGTTGTTGCTGCTGAGTCAGTTTGACATCCTGGATATATCCTTCAAACACAGACTGTAGACCCCTCTGTCTGCTTCTCTCTGGAATCACTCTTTCATTTTTACAAAAATATGATAACATTTCTTCAGGGAGTGCAGTTAGTTACAGTGTGGGCTCCATGCTTCCTGCGACAGCTTGTCTGACAATCACAAAGAGGCGGGGCTTAGCGAAAGGTCAATTACCAGAACTTTGTTAGCAGTTTTTCTTCAATAAAATCAAGCTTACTGATTTGGCAGGGAGGAAAGTAAAAGCAGAATCAGCTACAGTGAGACGCTGCTTTAAAACGTCATTGCCTATGACGTTCAAGCAGGTAGACCTGTTGTAATGGAGACACAAGTCGCTGCTGCACTGGGCTGATGTGCCAAGTCAAACCAGACCAAACCAAGCCAGCAGATGAGTGTGGAAAAAGGATAAAGGTTTGGCTTCATCAAATGCAAAAGACCAGTCAACGTAATTCATTTGTACACACGTAGAGATCAGGGCCAAAGTTGAGTCATACCTGTCACCTCTGTTACTTAACCCTTAGATGCACAAGTGAGTGGACCCTACACTCATTCATAAGTGGGTCAAAAATGACCCGTGTTAGAATCAATGTGTTTTTATGTCACTTTTGTCATTTTGGTTAAGAAAAATCATTTTTATTATATTTTGGTCCACATAAGAATGATTTCATGGTTGAAATATTTTTATTTTTCAGGTTTTTTTTACATTTTTAACATTTTTAAAACATTTTGAAAATTGGAAACGCAAATTACACAACAGCAATAGAACAATGTCAACATCCATTTTGTGCGTGTGGTGTGTGTGTGTGTGAAAGAGAGTATATGCGTGTGTGTGTGTGTGTGTGTGTGTGTGTGTGTGTAACTGTACGATCCTGTTCAGTTGGATTTCCAGGTGGACGACCAACACCTCCACCTGGATAATAGTCTGGGTCCTCATCGTCTGATATTTCAGATTCTGAGTCCAATCCCATAACTGCCTCTTCATTCAGCATCCTTACAACCATTTCAGCTGTATACCTCGCAGCCATAACACTTTGGATGAGGAAACATAAAACGAAGGGAATGTTTTGAATGACAAGCAAACCTATTGATCAATATGTAGCTATATAAATAAATGCACACATGCATCCGTGCGCACACCAACACACGTGCACACACGCGCGTGTGTGCGCAAACACACACACACACACACACACACACACACACACACACCAGATAGGGAGTATACTGCGAAACTAGAGGCCATTGTCTGTGTGGTCCACAAAATATAAATACCAGACAGTCACAGATGATAAGATTCAAAGGTTACCATGAAATTCCATAGGAAATGAATGCGGGTCATTTTTGACCCACTTATGGAAGCTTGGGGTAGTAATACAAAAACTATAATTTTGTAAAATGTATAAAAGGTAAGTGAAAAATTTCAATGGCATGATATTAATAACAAGTTTTTTGAGGAATAGCTGGAATATGAAATGATAACAACTTTTCATTACGAAGATATCACAAGAAAACAACCTCACCGGGTCATTTTTGACCCACTTATGCATCTAAGGGTTAAACGTAATGATAAGAACATGAGACACAACATGTGGCTCCGTCTCAACACACACACACGCCTATCGTACACGCAGTGATCCCACATCATGATCCAGAGGCTCAGACGAGGTGTCTGGATACAGATCAGCGTTTTCGTCTTGACATTTGAATTGTCATTTTTCATGTGCGACTCCACCAGCATCAGTCTGCGGGCCGATGGGTCGATCTAAACCCCAGACTGCGTCCTGTTACGCTCCACAAACCAGCTTCAAGTGTCAGCTCTGCAAAAACCTGCATGGTTACCATGGAAATGAGGGCGTTTTATCTTTAAGCCGCCTAGGATCTTGTTTCTGTTTGACTGTAAAGTCTGAATGTAATCCATTGTTGTCTGGATTAGGACGCAGTCTGTCTGCTTTTCCTGTCTGTCCTTTCATTTGTTACTTCCTGCCTCATTGCTGTTTGTCTCCTTTTGTTTTATTTATGTTTGTTCTTTCAACTTAATATCTCCTAAATCTTTCCCCGACTCCACAGGTCTCATCCTATGGAGGTTATCTGAGGTATCGTCTCCACACTCAGACTATGAGAGGCGACGTGTTGTCTCTGCCTGCAGAAGCCTCCAGGCCTGACATCATTCTCAAGGTACACACACACACACACACACTCACCCACTCACAAATATCTCTGTAACCCAGTTTCATGTGCATGTACACACAAAGAAGAGTTTTATAAGAATGAATCCTTTACCTGCCAAAAGCCTGGAACAGAACATACACACACACACACACACACACACACACACACACTGTTACCTAACGGCACACACACCTTCGTCCTGCAGGGTAACCAGATGACCCTGGTGTTCATGGAGAGAGAGTACTCCTCACCTGAAGAGCCTCACCTGGGAATCGTCCACATGGTCGAGGTAAAGTCACTCGTACATGCCGTCATAGGGAGTTTGAGCTGCACGAGGTCGCAGGAGATTTATGTGAGAAGCTGAGTTTAACAGCACGATACACACAGACCGGCAGCAACATGTCGGATTTCCAAAATATTGTCATACTTTATAGTGTTGATCACCTGAGGCAAATCCTTTTTTTTCCTGAGATGTAAACAAGAGCTTCAGATTTATTAACTGTAAAGATTAAGCAGGTGTCTCTCAAAACTGACATATACAGTACAGGCCAAAAGTTTGGACACACCTTCTCATTCAATGCGTTTTCTTTATTTTCATGACTATTTACATTGTAGATTCTCACTGAAGGCATCAAAACTATGAATGAACACATGTGGAGTTATGTACTTAACAAAAAAAGGTGAAATAACTGAAAACATGCTTTATATTCTAGTTTCTTCAAAATAGCCACCCTTTGCTCTGATTACTGCTTTGCACACTCTTGGCATTCTCTCCATGAGCTTCAAGAGGTAGTCACCTGAAATGGTTTCCACTTCACAGGTGTGCCTTATCAGGGTTAATTAATGGAATTTCTTGCTTTATCAATGGGGTTGGGACCATCAATTGTGTTGTGCAGAAGTCAGGTTAATACACAGCCGACAGCCCTATTGGACAACTGTTAAAATTCATATTATGGCAAGAACCAATCAGCTAACTAAAGAAAAACGAGTGGCCATCATTACTTTAAGAAATGAAGGTCAGTCAGTCCGGAAAATTGCAAAAACTTTAAATGTGTCCCCAAGTGGAGTCGCAAAAACCATCAAGCGCTACAACCAAACTGGCACACATGAGGACCGACCCAGGAAAGGAAGACCAAGAGTCACCTCTGCTTCTGAGGATAAGTTCATCCGAGTCACCAGCCTCAGAAATCGCAAGTTAACAGCAGCTCAGATCAGAGACCAGATGAATGCCACACAGAGTTCTAGCAGCAGACCCATCTCTAGAATAACTGTTAAGAGGAGACTGCGCAAATCAGGCCTTCATGGTCAAATAGCTGCTAGGAAACCACTGCTAAGGAGAGGCAACAAGCAGAAGAGATTTGTTTGGGCCAAGAAACACAAGGAATGGACATTAGACCAGTGGAAATCTGTGCTTTGGTCTGATGAGTCCAAATTTGAGATCTTTGGTTCCAACCGCCGTGTCTTTGTGAGACGCAGAAAAGGTGAACGGATGGATTCCACATGCCTGGTTCCCACTGTGAAGCATGGAGGAGGAGGTGTGATGGTGTGGGGGTGTTTTGCTGGTGACACTGTTGGGGATTTATTCAAAATTGAAGGCACACTGAACCAGCATGGCTACCACAGCATCCTGCAGCGACATGCCATCCCATCCGGTTTGCGTTTAGTTGGACGATCATTTATTTTTCAACAGGACAATGACCCCAAACACACCTCCAGGCTGCGTAAGGGCTATTTGACCAAGAAGGAGAGTGATGGAGTGCTGCGGCAGATGACCTGGCCTCCACAGTCACCGGACCTGAACCCAATCGAGATGGTTTGGGGTGAGCTGGACCGCAGAGTGAAGGCAAAGGGGCCAACAAGTGCTAAACACCTCTGGGAACTCCTTCAAGACTGTTGGAAAACCATTTCAGGTGACTACCTCTTGAAGCTCATGGAGAGAATGCCAAGAGTGTGCAAAGCAGTAATCAGAGCAAAGGGTGGCTATTTTGAAGAAACTAGAATATAAAACATGTTTTCAGTTATTTCACCTTTTTTTGTTAAGTACATAACTCCACATGTGTTCATTCATAGTTTTGATGCCTTCAGTGAGAATTTACAATGTAAATAGTCATGAAAATAAAGAAAACGCATTGAATGAGAAGGTGTGTCCAAACTTTTGGCCTGTACTGTATATAAAATGTAAATCTGATGAAAAAAAGTAAAAAAAAAAGACCTCTCAATGCTCTCAAACGCAACTTAAACTAAGAAAAAAAATTCCTCATTTTCTGATCCCCACTCCCCCGAAAATTTGTGTACAGTCCCTTACATAAACATATTAGTGCCATTGTCATTTTTACACTATTGCAGTAATTTATTGCCCAAAAAGAGCTCCACCTTGCTCCTCTGGTAGCCTCTCTTGTTATTGTTGATCTTTAAACTCCCTCTGCTCATATGGGACAAGAAAACAACAACAAAATAAACAACACAGAATTAGGAATTTTCAAATGACTAATATTGGTTGTATGTACATTTTTGTGCAAACTCAACATCATTTTCTAATCTAGGTTGAGCAGATTGAAGAAACATTTAAGACTGTGTACTTTATGTTTTGAAGGAGATGAATATTATGAGTATTATTATAATATGATAAGATGAGAGAAACAGATAAGTTTAACGATATTGCCTGATGTGTTTTATGTAGCGACTCCTAGTCTTGTTACAGACTGTTCTTTACTTATCAGAGGAGAGGGGTTGCTGCGTGATGTGTCCAAGGACCATCAGAAATTTGAAAATCCAACGATATTTTCTGTTTTTACAGTTTCTGGTTGTGATAAATGGTATAATTTTGGGGATTTTTAAAGTTAACATGCCTGCATGTTGTCTTTAAAAATTTGTGGTGAAATAAATACAAAATACAACCATTTAAATTTTTATGCCCCTTCCCTAAGCCAAAAAAAATAAATAAATTTAGTCCTTCCCCAGTGCTTAAAAAATTATTTGACATTCTTTCTGCCTTTTGACCATCCCCTTCCCCCTCATAAATAATGAACAGTCCCTTAACAACTGGGAAGCGAAAGAACAAGCAAGACCCGCTGCTAGTGTGAGTACGAAACACACAGGCTTGGTAACCTCAGCAGGAGAGAAAGATGATGTCACCTTTGTGCTGTAGTCTTTTTTAATTATGTATTTTCACGGTCTTATGCTTAAACACTTTTACAACAAACATAGACTTTCTTGACTTGTAAAATTGACCTGTGCCATGAATTACATGTGATTTTTATCAACTTAAAAGCTAAACAGGATCAAAAACGTATTTGTCTCTCGCCGCTGACTACTTGTTGTTTTTTTTTTGTTTGTTTTTTTCATGGTGGTCCACCAGAGGGGGATGGACTTCACTTCTCTATTGTTGAATAAAGAAAAGTCCAAAGCCTAACCCTAACCTCACTTTTGTTCACCTCCCTCCCTCCTCTCTTTCCTCGCAGGGAAGTTTCCGTCACGCTCAGACGGGGAACTCTGTGTCTCGGGAGGAGCTCATGATGGTTCTGGTCGGTCTGGAGTCTCTGCAGATCCGAGCCCTGCACTCACAGTCGGCCCACTCAGTGTCCATACGTGGGGCTGTGCTGGAGGGCGCTGACAGCCTGCCCACCGGTCGCCATGCCAACAACGTAGAGATCTGCATGTGTCCTGCCAATTACCTGGGAGACTCGTGTCAGGTGAGGGACCACATCAAAGTGATCAATATTTGTTGTTTAATGATTAGTTTTATCCAAGAATTTTTTTAATTAAAATTCCAAACTAGTAATATAGAAACTATATAATACAGGCTTTTTTTTGTTAATATATTCTGGCATTTAATAGACACATTCATATTAACAAAAATAATCTTCTCAGCCCTCACACTCTGTGTTTGATGTTTCTGTCCACAGAAATGTGCTCCAGGTTACTACAGAGACACGATCGGCCTGTTTCTGGGGAAGTGTGTCCCCTGTAACTGTAACGGACACTCTGACCTGTGTCTGGATGGATCTGGGATCTGTTTGGTGAGGATCTGTAACATTAATCATTCCTTATTGATAACTGTCTTTAGCGCAGTGTATAGATTAGTCATTGTTTTGTCTCTCTGTGCATCAGAACTGTCAGCACAACACAGCCGGGGACCACTGTGAGACTTGCCAGGGTGGTTTCCTTGGCAACAACAGTCTTGACGGACAGGCGGTGTCCTGCTCCAGTTGTCCCTGCCCGCTGAGGGTCCCATCCAACAAGTCAGTGCAGTTTACTCTCTGCTGTTACTTCTCTCTTTTTCCCTAGATCCTTTTTCTCATTTAATCTTAGATTATAATAACTCCTTGTCTCTGTCTCTCTGTGCAGCTTTGCAGAGGGTTGTGTGCAGAGAGGCGACAGGATGCAGTGTGTGTGTATGCCGGGGTACGCTGGACCACGCTGTGAAAGGTAAGCAAACCTCCACAGCACCAATCTTTAAATTAATTATAAAATATTGAGTTTGTCTTGTTTTTTTTGTTGTTGTTTTTTCCAAACAAGAACGACAGCTGTTACCTCTTTAACATTCTGGATCCTTAACTGATGAAGTAAAACCTGCTGCAGAAACATGTCTCATTACATGATGTGCGTCTTGACACAGGTGCGCCCCCGGTTTCTACGGCAACCCCATGGTGCTGGGTAGCAGGTGCCAGCCGTGCAATTGCAACGACAACACAGACCCCAACATGTTGTTCACCGACTGCCACCTGCTGACTGGCGAGTGTCTGAGCTGCATGCACAACACGGCCGGGCCTCACTGTGACATCTGTGCTCCCGGTTACTACGGAGACGCTATTAATGCCAAAAACTGCACCAGTGAGTTCAGCTTTGACCTCAGTTCAAACTAAGTTCATGAGATGCCTTCATGTGCTCATTTGATTTAATTAAGCTGCAGAATTTTGGAGTAAAAGCTTCACTGAAGTAAAGAAATCAGATATTGCGACACTTTGAGTAATGTAAGACAAGGACGATTAAAGTAAAAAGTTTTGTTTGCTCTGTTTAAACACAGAATGTAGCTGCTCTCCATGTGGCACCCAGTCATGTGACCCTCACACTGGACAGTGTCGCTGCAAACCTGGAGTCACCGGACCTCGCTGTGATCGCTGTGAGGTGAGAGCTGCTCGAGTTTTTCTTTCCTAAATTTTACAGTCTCTGATTCACTCTGATTCCTGCACTTTTCCCTCCAAATTAAACTTTGTATCAGGAGCCAATCAGACGAACCAATCCAAGATGTTGCAGCTAGAAAGCAAGAATAACTTTTACAGCTTCACCTCATGCTTCATCCTGAATCCGTTTATCCTCTCAGAACGGCGCCTTTGGTTTCGAGTCGTGCTCCGGCTGCCGTCAGTGTGACTGCGACGCCTCTGCAGCTCTCGTCCAGCCGTGTGACCCTGAGAGCGGTCAGTGTGCCTGTCAGCCCGGAGTCAACGGGCCGAACTGCAAACAGTGCGCTCCTGGATACTGGGACTACGGACCTGACGGATGCAAGAGTGAGTGAATGCATGACACAATGCACAGCGAAGCAATTATGGACTTCTGTTTCTATCTGATGTTGATCAACTCTAGTTTTTGTACAGATTCTTTGCAGCCTAAACAACACATGCTCCTGGTTACAACTGCAGCTAATACAGTAGAGTGTGCCCAGTTTATATTAAAACACTAACAGCTCAGCAGAAGAGACGCTGGATTAGAGCTTAAAAAGTAGCAGTTATATTAGAGACAGCGGCGTTAGCAGCAGCCATATTAATTGTAGCTGTAGTAACTAGTAGCACCAATAATATCAGTCGTTGTAGCAGGAGGAGTAACAGCTGTAGCCTTCATTGTTGACTTGCAGTGGCTGCTTTTATCGAAAAAAAACTGTGCCTAAAAATGGTTCTAATAAAATCAAACCCACCTGTTGTGTTCGACGCCTTCCTCCCTCCAGAGTGCGACTGTAAAGGAGGTCGCTGTGACCCGCGCACAGGAGAGTGTCGCTGTCCTGACGGGATGACTGGAAAACAGTGCGACACCTGCTCCATTAAATACAACGTACCTGTGGAGCACCACCATGGCATGCACTGTGAACGTAAGTAAAACACACTATTTCATTTATAGGGTGACGACACCTGATAAATTTGTGTGCTGAATTTGTTTAAAGAGAAAAACAAGACATTTGTCTGAGAGTGTTATAACATTCTATATAAGTGGAATTGAGTGTGTTTGTTATGTGTGTGTTTTTCTTGCAGCGTGTGACAACTGCGTCATCGTCCTGTTGGAGGATCTGGAAAAAATGGACGACGACTTCCAATCTGTAGCCACTCAGCTGAGGAGTCTGAACGCCAGCTCCATGGCCTGGGCTCAGATGAACAGTCTCAACAAGTCTGTGGAGGACCTCGCTGTGAGTGTACACACACATATGAACAGCCTCACCAGGGATGTGGCTGAAGCAATAAGCTGTACTGTTGTCATATGTATACTCTTTACAATAAACTAATTTTCCCATGATTCCAGCGGGCCATCGAGAACTACAACAGCACGCTGGATGAGAGCAGGAGTCGGGCCGACATGCTGGATGCTGAGATCACAAATATCAATGATGACATTAATGAGCTGCAGAACAAGGTACAGTCACACACACACACACACACACACACACACACACACACTTGCTCTTTGCATTATCTTATTGTTGATTTTCTCAGTAATTATAACGATAATTATATTGTGACAAAATTCTCCTCAAGATACAGTCGTTCAAAATTCTAATCTTTACATGAAGCATGCGTTCACTAACATTTATGCAAGTATGAGATCATAATGAGGACTTTAGAAAGCACAATATAACTCATAATAACCTTTTTACTGCATTTTTAAACACATCTGTGTGTGTGCTAAAGAGAAGCTTAAATAATTACAGTTACCACTCTCCCTGTCGTTTATTCACCTGAATGTAATGCAGTCACATATTCCAGTTTTCATTCTGCCACTATGAACATATTATAAATGTGTCTGTTTTCATGTAGAACTGAGAGTGTTGGATATTTGTGGTGTTTTCAGGCGGCAGTGATGGCCGACAGGGCCGACGACCTGCAGAACAGTACCACTAACGCGCACAAGAGGGCGCAAGACCTGCTGTCCTTCATCAACAACATAACCAAAGATTTAAACGGTAGGACAGAGGACAGTGAGTCCATCAAAAATCTGTCAAAACATGATTATACACTGTCAAACAAACTATTAATGTAAGTCAGACAGTGCATCAGCTGCTGCTTTAGCAGTAATATGACGTGCTGGGACAGAAACATTTTTTCCATATACACAGAAACTTTAAAAGAATATTATGTAACTATGAGGTAAAATCATATTGACAGTACAAAACTTAAACATTTCGAGATTGAAGTCAGTGTTTTTAGAGCTACATTTTTATTTAGTTGTCATCAACAGCAATACAACGTATACGTCTCCTTTTTTCACAGCTGCATGTATCATTTATACACATTACATTCAGAAATTACCTAAAAAAAAATCAAAACTTGTTCTATCAATGCCAGACTTCAACTTATTCAGTTCAAGGTCATCCATCCAAGACCAAACTGAATAGGATCTTTCCCTCTGTCTCTGCTATCTGTGATAAATGCAATTTAGATGACGGGACTCTGGGTCACCTTTTCTGGTCCTGCCCTAAGCTTAGGAATTTTTAGGATGACATTTTTCATTTGTACAGTGATGTATATAGTAAACAGTTGATTCCTGACAGTCTTCTGATAATACTGGGCTGCTCCAACTTCTCTCTCACTCTTCCCTTATCACTTCAACAAGCCCTCATGTTTGGTATGGTTGTAGCAAAACGGGTTATTCTGAGAGAGTGGAAATCAGTTTCCCCTCCTTGTTTCAAAAAATGGTTGAATGACATGGTTTCTTGTATATATTTGGAAGAAATTCAATATACTCTGTCAGACACTCATCACAAATTCCTTGATGTTTGGGGTCCCTTTATTGAGTATATTCGAAGGGATAGGCAGCATCCTCAGAACTAACTATACTGGACTGTATCACTTTGTACTGTATTGACTGCACCATGCTTTGAACAGTCAAGCTACTAGTCTCTTTGACCTCACTTGGTCTTGGTTTTGTGGACTCTGTGTCAGACTGTATAATCCACTTCTGGACTCTTGAATCAGTGTGTAAACTGACATGCATATTTGTATTTTTGTATACATTTCTGTGGGCCGGCAGCTTGTTTTGTTTGTTTTGTTTATTATCGTCTGTGTGTTTTGTATGACCTAAAAAAGAAAACAGCGCAGATGTCCACTCCAGCGTCTTAATCCGCTGGTCAGAAAAGCTTAAAAACTTAATATATATATAAAAAATAGGGAATTAAAAATAATAGTATTAATATTGTCTACTACACATTATAATCACACAGATAAAGTCCAAGTGCAAAATTGACGCATAATTATAAAAGTAATTTTTGCTCAGTTTTGTCTCTTATAAAAATAACATAACATATATCTGATACAGATCAGTAAAGCAGCTTGCAAAATTTGAAAGTTTAGACTCAAGAGAGATTTTAGAAGCCAGTGTAGACGACTTAAAGGGATAGTGCACCCAAAAATGAAAATTCAGCCATTATCTACTCACCCATATGCCGAGGGAGGCTCAGGTGAAGTTTTAGAGTCCTCACATCACTTGCGGAGATCCAAGGGGAGAGGAGGTAGCAACACAACTCCACCTAATGGAGGCTGACGGCGCCCCAGATTCAAACGTCCAAAAACACATAAGTGAAACCACAAAATATCTCCATACTGCTCGTCCGTAGTGATCCAAGTGTCCTGAAGCCCCGACATAAAAAATCGTCTCTAAAACTTCACCTGAGCCTCCCTCGGCATATGGGTGAATAGATAATGGCTGAACTTTCATTTTTGGGTGCACTATCCCTTTAAATTTGGTTCAAAATCTTCTTGAAAAGGTCTCAAAAAGTGTTACATTTCAGTGTTTGATACCTGTAGACACTCTGTGCTAATATTTGCCCTAAGATGAACCAGTGAGAAGTTATTTAACAGCATCATAAACATTTTAAAACACAGTTTCCTTCAGATGAAACCGTCACCTTAAACCTCTTAGAGTTATTTTTGTAAGGACCATTGAAAAGAGGATTGTTTCCAGTCTCACCCCACAAACACTGCAGCTCAGTTTGAATGATTTATTTTTTTGTGATGCTTTCCACAGATCTCATGCTGATGGCGAACCGGTCGTTGCAGAACGACACCGAGGTCGTGCAGGATGACGAGGAGAGGGAGAGGATGATGAGGGAGGTGCAGGCCATGCTGAGGGAGATGAGGCTCAGGAGCTGGGTGGGGCAGAAGAAGATAGCTGACAGAGAGAAGACAGAGGCAAAGAAACGTAAGTTCACTCACCACAAACAAAAAGTTGCTGTGTGTTGTGTCGTGATTATCTTTATGACAGGGCCTTGAAAGTTGTACGTAGTGCTGGCCTCATTGGGTGGGGTTAGGTAAACTAACTAAACTGACCTGGTGCAAATTAACACAAGCTCAACGTTTTCACTACGATTCAAACCAAACGAATCAAAACCAGTTGTAGGTGTGATCACATCATTTGTCTCCTCCTTCTGTCCCCCGCTAGTGTTGGATCGAGTTAACAAGGAGTTGGCAGGTCGTCATGGAGAAAACAGCGACTTGTCCAAAGCCATCAGAGACCGCCTGTCCCGCTTCCACTCTGAAATGATGGATCTCCGAGACGCCCTGAACGAAGCGGTGAACAACACCGCCAGAGCCGCAGAGATCAACAACGTCAACGAGAAAACCCTGGAGGACAACCAGGTGAGAAATCATGACTAACAGTAAGGAAGGAGCAGAGGTCAGTGATCAAAGATGGTATTAACTCTGTCTCTGTCGAACACAGAGGAGGATCGAAGACCTGTTGGTGAAGCAGAAGGAAGTGAACGACCAGATAAACATGGCTGAAGACGATGTTGCGCAGGTCAACTATGTGCTGAACATGCTGCACGACTCCAAAGAGGTTAGATCACACACAAACGCACATTTCAACATGAGTCTGTGGGGGAGGCTCTACAGCGCCCACCTGCACCACACCTGGTGTTCAGAAACTACAACTCAGTTCACAGATCGTTCTGTAATCTTGAAAATGTTTTAGTGATTTTGCCACAACTTTAAAGGGACAGTTCACCCCAAATCAAAAACAGATGTGTTTGCTCTGACCTGTAGTGCCATTTATAATCTAGATTGTTCTGGTGTTGGAGGATTCATCCGTAGAAATGTCTGCCTTCTCTCGATAATAATGGAACTAGATGACACTCAGCTTGTGGTGCTCAAAGCGCCAAAAAAATACATATGAAAAACTCAACAGCGATATCTCTTGACCCAGTTACTCAAGATAATCCACAGACCTTGTTGTGAGCAGTTTCATGTAGGAACTATTTTCTTTGTACCAAACAACACTCGCCCACCAGTGAGTGACATCTAGTTCCATTATATTGAGAGAAAGCAGACATCTCTGCGGCCGATATCGCCAACACAACTCACGCCAAAACAATCTAGATCAGTGGTTCCAAACTGGTCCAGCCACGAGGTCCAAATTTCTCCCTCATCATTAGTCACACAGTTTAATACATTCAGTGTCATACTTGCATTCGGTCATGTCGTTGTGCTAGTTTGCTGTCTCTGTCAAGTAGCTGTTTGTTATTTACTCAGTCTACAGCAGGAAACAGCACTTCAAAATAAAAGCTCTGTGCTGGAAATTTGCTGTACTTCATGACACGTTTGTGAGTCACTTGCGTTCCAAGAATGGACCCACAACCCACTGGTCTAGACTGATAAATAGAACTAGTGGTAAGAGGAGAACTACGTATTTTTGATTTTGGAGTGAACTGTCCCTTTAAAGGTTTTTTAAAGGGATAGTGCACCCAAAAATAAAAATTCAGCCATTATCTACTCACCCATATGCCGAGGGAGGCTCAGGTGAAGTTTTAGAGTCCTCACATCACTTGTGGAAATCCAAGGGGAGAGGAGGTAGCAACACAACTCCACCTAATGGAGGCTGACGGCACCCCAGATTCAAATGTCCAAAAACACATAATTGAAACCACAAAATATCTCCATACTGCTCGTCCGTAGTGATCCAAGTGTCCTGAAGCCCCGACATAAAAAGTTGTTTGGAAAAACGTCATTTGAACTCTGTTTTTAGCCTCATTGTAGCCTGTAGCTCTGACTACAGCAAGAGCACCTGAACACACATGAAGGCAGTGCCCATGTCTCACGGTCTCGCGCAAGCGTGCACATGTGAACGCGGTGCCCAGAGAGGCAGTTAGAGCTACAGACTACAATGAGGCTAAAAACAGATATTGTTTTTGGCATTTTGTTGTCATTGATGGTGCCAGTAGAGACACAGGGAGTGATGTGACAAAGGTTGCAGTCAAGGTTGTATCAAACTGGAAAATGTTAAGTTGTCCTGTATTTGTCTCTTTAACACTTCAAACGTCTTTCTCAGGACTATGAGCGTTTGGCTGCGCAGCTGGACGGCGCTCGGACACTGTTGGCAAAGAAAGTACAAAACTTGACTTTGGCTGACTCCAAAATCCCTCTGGTGGAGAAAGCAGAGCAACACGCTGAGTGGCTGAACGCCACAGCCATGAACCTGACCAGGTAAGAGACCAGATAGCTGCTCAGCTACATTGAGGTAGAGGAGGCAGAGAGACGACTCTGACTGCCTCGCTGCTGTGCTGACAAAACTCACCAGGTAGATAATATAAATTAGTAAAGAGAAGATGTTAATGAATCTTACATGTGTGTGTCTGCAGTTTGGTTGCAAATGCAAAGAAGGAGGGATTTGTGGATGTGACACAAGCCTACAACAAGATCATCAACAGCATCAAGGAGGCAGAGGAGGCTGCCAAGATGGCCGAAAAGGCTGCTAACGACACAACAGAGGTACAGGACACACATGCACATTTATTTTTCCACCTGTATGAGCACACATGCATGCTCAGATGAAAACTGCTTGCTTTGAATAGCTTGTAATATCGGGGTGTGTGTGTGTGTGTGTGTGTGTGTGTGTTTAGAACATAAAGGACCAGGATCTTGGTAAGATCGCTGACTCTCTGAGGAACCACAGCGTGGAGCTGAAGAAAGATGTCCAGGCGCTAAATGATGAACTCAACAACAGTAAACACTCATTAATATCTTCATTTAAGAGATTTGTTTTAAGGGATGTCATGAATCAAGTAAAAGTAGAGTCATGTAGACGTCAGTTTGGATGTTTTTGTAGTTTAAGTTTTTGTTTTTCTGGTGCACAGAGCTGAAGCCGCAGCTGGAAGATGCTAAGAGACGACTGGACGACGCCAAAACCAAACAGGCTGACGTGATGAAGGACCTGGAGATGGTTCAGAACAACCTCAACTTCACCACAAGTACGCACACTCAACGCACTCACACTGAGTTCGTGGAAGTTTTTGTCTAAAGGAGATTAAAGTGAGTGCATTCAAACTCAAGAGGAGGAGGTAGTAGATATCAAAGTAGAAATGCAACCCCCACACACACACACACACACACCGCGTTCAGGGAGCTATGGTGAAAATGTGTATGGCCTTTGTGTAGACCTCTACAACCACATGTAGAAGTAGTGATATAAATCATCCAAGCACAGAAATCTCACATGATGTGGTCTTAATTTATTAATTTTCATCCCTCGTTCTCTGTCATGAACAGATGTGAGTCAGGAGATCGACGAGGCAAAGCGAGCAGCAGATCTGGCGAACACCACGGCCACAGAGGTCAACAGTGCCCTGCGTCCCATTAAAGAGAAGCTGGACCAATGGCAGCAGGCCTACGGAGACGCCAACGCCACCAACGATGACATCAACAATGCACTGATGGAGGCCAACAAGACCGGTAGGAGCTTATGAACATATCACCAAAGAAAAAAAAGACTTATTTCTGTAACTGATGGACTTCCACACTTTTTATTTCCTGTCAGTCTGTTGTTTTTTATCATTTTATCATATAAATCTTTAGCCATGATGCCTGCTGACAGTTCCCCTTAACATTCCCCTCACAGCTTTAAAGATACAAAACAGATTCAAACTGTTTAAGATAATCAAATAAGCATATTTTTTATCTGCATGTTCTAAAGCCTCATTAAAGCTTAAACATGTTTACATGAAGGGAAAAGGTCAACCTGAAGACTCAAACGTTTTTATGACTGTATACTTTTGTTTTATGTGCATCAATCATCGTTCAGTTATCTTACGTAATTAAAAAAAAAATCAACATTTATCCAACAGTTTTTCTGTCTAAGTTACTTGATCAAGCGCTTTAGCCTATTTTCACTTTAATTCATAGTGAAATAATTAATATCTGACTTAAAATGAATTGGCAGCTATTGTCAATTAAATCATTTGAGTCAGTTATCAAAATTTGCTGGTACCAGCTGCTTGAATGTAATTATTTTCAATTTTCTCTGTATTTATTTATCATTCTAAAATGAATGTTTTTAGGTTTTGGCCCATTGATCAGACAAAATAGGAATTTAGTTGGGATAATATCTTGGCTCCAGGAAATTTGGGATGGGCGGTTTTTATTTATTTATTTTTTATTTATTTATTTTTTTTGTTTAATTATTATCTGATTTATTAGTAATAAAAATAATAATTAGTTGCAGCCCCATGGGAAAAAATGAAGCTGTTCAAATTTTTGTACATTGACTAACGCCAGATATCAATAAGACGAATGAAATCTAACATAACAAACACTCCAAATAACAAACTGTTGAGCTCCTAGTGAACATAAAACTGGAATATGAATCACTGAATATAATTCTCTCTCTGTAGTGCACGCACTGGGTGAGACGATTCCTCTGCTCATGAAGAAGTTGGATAAACTGCAGAATCATTCGGCACAGATGCCAAACATCTCTGAGAACATCAGCCGCATCCGACAGCTCATACAGCAGGCTCGCAATGCTGCCAGCAAGGTACACACACACACACACACACACACACACACACACAAAACCCTTTTCTCCTCAGCAGCGTCTAATAGGGCTGGACGATTATGGCAAAAATAATAATCACGATTATTTTGATTGATATTGAAATCACGATTAATAAACACGATTATTCATTGATTTCAAAACTCCACCAAAACTCAACTTTAATTATAACTTAGAAGAACAGTCAGAAATAAATTAGTAAGTAAGTAAACAAGTACAAAAAATAAGAATAATAATAATAATAGTAAATTAAAATAATAATAGCAATAAAAACAATAAATAAAAATAAATACTAGGGCTGACCCAAGTTCGATAGCACGGGATTCGATTGTGAAAAAAAAATCGAATATTCGGCCTTTTTTTTTTCTCCCGTTTTTTTGGGGGGGACCTTGAACGCAACACCATCTCCGACAAGGAAATAGAAAGCCTGATGTGCAATGAATGGAGACCTATTATCCTGCTTGAACACAGATAGCTAAATTCTTTCAACAATGTGACTCAAAATAATGATAAAATAGATTTTATTGATGTAAGATAATATGCTGATGGTGACATTTTCCACCGGTCTGCTGCGCTCTGAGTCTGGTGTCAGTGACACATGCTGCTCTGAGTCACGCATCTGTCTGCTTGCGCTGCAGTGCGCACCAAGGGTTTTAATTTTTAGTGTTAAATCAAAAGTTAAACACTACTTATCAGCAACCAGAAGTGCTTTTTCGTTTGTGAATATTTTTATCTTAATATTGGGTTGCAAGAAGCTACCTTTACGCCATAATTTGTAAGTTATTAACTTTTTTGGACTTTTTTTCCCGCTCGTGTTGCCTTGGGGGGCAGACACGACAGCGTGACAATGACAGATGACTGAAGTTGTCCTACCTTTCTTCTCAACCAAAGGCTGCCTTTCTGCCATGTTCTCAATCGCTCGCTCCACATATTATTGATCCACACACGTCACACGCTTGCTGCTGCTGCACATAACACAGGTGCATTCACTTACATACACGCCGCGCTGTGCGGCGCATTAATCGTTTTTCTTTGATTATAATGTTTTTATGATCGTGAGAAGCTAAAATCAAAATCATGATTACAATTCGATTAACCGTCCAGCCCTAGCGTCTAATGCTTCTGTATCATCTGTTCCCCTCCTCTTCCCTCCGTCCAGGTGAGCGTGCCAGTGAAGTTTAACGGGGCGTCTGGTGTTCAGGTCCGTACACCACAAAACCTGGCCGACCTGGCTGCCTACACCTCCCTGAAGTTCTACATCACTCTGCCAGAGGCGGCACGAGCCAGGCGGCAGGACAACAGCGAACAACAGTTCGTCTTCTACCTCGGCAACAAGGATGTAAGCATCACCACGGCAACACAGATGCTCGTTTTGTGTTTTGTTTTGACTTTTTTTTGTGTGTGTGATTATAGGATTTATTATCAACTTAACTTCTTATTTATTTATTTATATTAATTTTGTTGACATTCTGAAATATGCACTTTGTGTTGTACACCTGTACAATGTAATACAACATTTAGTAGTACATTTAATATGTTTATCATTTCATCATATCATCAGGTTGTAGTATGCGGTGGTGTTGTACTGGACTATATTATATAGAGAAGAGTTTTATACATCAGACACCAGGAGATGATGAGATCTTGTATCTCAACGAGACCTTCCTGTCTAAATAATGGATAGATAAACACTTCTCAATATAATGCAGTCCAGCACAACACAACTAGCATGGACAAGTTAACTAACTGAATATCACAAGCATCATAAAGGTAAACCTAAAGTCATAACAGCTGTGTTGGATTGTACTAGATTGACAGGTGTACCTAATAAAGTGACCACTGAGTGAATATATTACAGATTTTAAGTGATAGAGTGCATCTTGGAGTTGTTGTCCAGAGAGGAGATACTTGGCGAGGGCTCGATGAGAGACAGGTTACTGTACAGTAGTTCATTTCTGTTCTGTCTGGTCTTTGTAGTCCAGTAAGGAGTTCCTGGGCATGTCGCTGGTGGGGAAGAGACTGCGCTGGTTCTTTAACATTGGAGGAGAAACAGCTGAGGTGTTAATGGCTGAAGACGTAAAAGCTAATGGAAACTTCAACAGCATAGTGCTGGAAAGGTAACACACACAAACATTTATATGTTAACATGGTGACATGATTGTGTTGTTCTTGATTGTTCTTGTATTTTCGGATAATGAAATGATTTTTTTTCAAATGGCTTGAACAAGTATTATCATTGAAATATACAAAGAAATGTAATAAATTTACATTTTATTATGGATACTGTAAGCAGGTTTCAGTTCAGTCACTCAGCAATGGTGGCAGGATGGCGTTAATATGGAGACATGGTGACCACCCTTTGGTCTCTCTCCACGTTGCCCCGGTGAGATAGTGATTTCTTTTGAGCCGCAAAACCCCTTTAGCATTGTAACTATGTTAGCACCACTAGCTGCACTGACACTGCAAACATTGCAGAGTAAACAGAAGTTAACAATGTTAAAGGTGGTGTGTGTCTCCAAATTGAAAGGCTTACTCACTGGGACAAACTAGAGAGAGACCAGAAGGTGGCCACCATTTTTTTCATAATGATGGGTCGGGACAGCGTTACCGACCGTAATTGCTGAATGAGCATCAGTGCAAGCTAGCTCCCACCAGACCAGGTTGGTGTGCACAGCAATGAACTAAGGAGTGAAAAAATTAACATATAGATCAACATGTGTAACAAATCAAAAATATTTTGGTGATCCAGAAATAAAATCTGCGGAGTTCTGCTCTTGTTTTTTTGTTTTGTTTTTTGGCTCGTAATGTGAAAAACAATTTTGATTTATGATAGCAGTTGTTTTTGAGCAATAACAACCCCACACGCGCAGATTCAGTGTGTGCCTGCCCATCACTGTGCAGGTTAAGATACTGACTCCTTTCAAAAAACATCAGCTGTCACTATCAGCCATCAAACCCTTCTGTGGTCATGTTTAAATGTCTGTCCAATAGCTTTTATCACTGCTGTCATGCGCTTGTTCCCACATATCTTACTTTATGTATATCTGTTTGTCCATCCGTCTGAATGCAGGATCCTGCAGTACGGTCAGATGTCCATGTCGTCAGAAGCCACTGAGGGGGACCAAACGGTCACCAAAGCCTACACGGAGGCTGGAGGAGATCAGGGGCTGCTCAACCTCTTGTCCGACGACACTGTCTTCTATGTGGGAGGATACCCGAGTACTTTCAAAGTGAGTACATGATGTGCTGTTTGCTTGTGCTGTGGGGTCGGGCTCAGTCAGGGAGGGATATACACATGCATAATGTATCTAGTCCCTAAGTTCTTTCTTTATCCTCTCTTTTTTTTTTTCTTTTAGCCCCCCTCCGTGCTCGCCCTGGCTAACTTTAAGGGCTGTATCGAGCTTGATACGCTCAACGAGGAAGTGCTCAGTCTGTATAACTTTGAGAACATCTTTGCCCTCAACACTACACAGGAGAAACCTTGTGGCAGGTCAGTGTACACGTTCTCATTTAATTTATTCATTTAAATCTTTGTTGGATTAAAAAAAAAACATAACGTCCAGTCTGTTGATAAGACAGTGATTGTCTTTTCTTTCCTTTTGACTAAACCCACTCTCATATTTTCCATTTGTCTTCCTCTGATGATTCCAGGTCCAAGCCAGTGCTGACTCAGGCCTGGGTCAATGACGCGGCGTATTTTGACGGTACTGGTTTTGCAGAGATCACCTTTACTGGTGAATCGGCTCGCATGCAGCGCTTCGACCAGGAAGTCAAACTGCTTTCACACAACGGAATACTGCTCCTGCTACATAAGGAGGTACTCATTCATGAATTCAGTCATTCATCATTCATTCATGCACTCATTCGTTCTGTTATTTAATTTTTACAAAACTCTACTCTCTAAAAAATGAGTATTTTTTTCCAGCATTTATTCATTTGTTTGTTCCAGAATCAAGTTTTTACATTTACATAGATCACATCTATGTTTTTAAAAAATTAATTTATTCGTGAACAAGAATACTAAGCATGTTTGTGATAGTTTAGGAACCAGGTCGTCATTACATAATTTCTCCACCAGAGAGCACTAACAGGTGTATTTGTTCTCTTTAGTGTCCCGCTCAGTGCACGTCTTGGTCACAGTTCTTTAGAAAAAAAAAAAAAAAATCTGATAGTTATCAGCCAAAAGATTAAAAAAAAAAAAGTTTAAATAAGGATCCTTAAATTTGTTTTGCTGTCTTAAATATCAGCATCAGCTTCAAACGTCAAGCATTGGTCAAGTTACAGTTATTACTGTTTGACTGTTTGATTTAAAGACTGTCAACAAAGCTAGAAGTGCTCTCTCAGTGTTATCTGTGTCTCTCTCCTCCAACAGAGCCAGTTCCTGTGTATGGCGGTGCTCCAGGGCAGACTGAAGGTTTTCTATGACTTCAGTAATGCCATGGTGGAGCTTGAGCCCAAAGACCCTTCATCTGAATTCCTGAAGATCAGCGGCGCCGACCCCAAAGCTGTGAGTCTGCCGTGTCTGTCTTTGTCTTTCCCATGTGTATTATACAGTGTGACTACTTTATGTATTTATAGATATCCCTGTCAAACCAACAGGAATCGTATGCAGGCTAAATGGTTGACAAACAGGGAGAGAATAATGAGTTCTTGTCAAAAATGGAAGCTGTTTATTCACAGCATGTGTGTCGTGTTGTTTTAACTGTGCAGCTGGAGATCATCATCCTGCGTTCCATGAACCGTGTCGTGGTGAGGAACAACCGCAATAACCTCTACATCCACCAGTTCACAGAGGGCATCCCCTCGTTCAGTGGCAGCTACTACCTGGGGGGAGTACCGGAGCACAAGATGCCTGCGAAGTGAGTACGCATATTATTGGATGGATAGCCATTGAATTTTGGGCAAATATTCATGAATTTAATTTGGCAAAAACCTGCAGATCTAATGACGTCTCCGTCAGCAACAGCTGTAATTTGTGTTGATTTCTAATGATCAATGTTCGTCAATTTTATTTTTATTATTTATATATACACCAATCAGCCACAACATTAAAACCACTGACAGGTGATGTGAATACCATTGACCATCTCGTCACAATGCAATGGTCTGCTGGGAATCCTTGGGTCCTGACATTCATGTGGATGCCACCTGACTCACTTCACTCACCCAAATATCATTTCAGACCAAGTGCACCCCCTCATGGCGACAGCACTCTCCAATAGAGGTGGCCCCCCAGCGGGACAATGCACCATGCCACTCCACAAAAACTGCTCAGGAATGGGCCAAGGAATGTGACGCAAAGCTCAAGGCAAAAGATTCTAAAGATCTCAATCTGATCCAGCATCCATGAGACGTGTTGGTACCACACCTCACAACCCACAGGAATCAAAGTATCTGCCGACAGAACCCTGGTGCCAGACACCACAAGACACCCCCCAGAGCTTCCTGTGTTCATGCCTTGACATGTCAGAGCCAAGTCCGATCCCAGGAGGCCCCATTGTGGATTGGGGTGCCTCTGGAGTACCCACACATCCCATAGATGTTTGATCAGATTGGGGAATTTAGAGGATGAGTCAACAACCTTGAGTGCTTTGTCATGTTCCTCTGGCCATTCTTGAGCAGTTTCTGAGGTCTGGCATGGTGCATTGTCCTGCTGGGGGGCCACTGCCATCCGGGAGTGCTGTCACCATGAGGGAGTATACTTGGTTTTAAGCTGTGTTTTGGTGGCTGGTGCCCATCAAGTGGCATCCACATGAATGCCAGGACCCAGAAGCCCCTTGAGGCACATTTGCAACTACAGTCATCAGGTGGACACAAACATGACTCCATATGAATGATATTTCTCAGGTGCAAAGTTTTCAGCTTGTGGAGGAGATCTTCTGCCTCTAATTCTGCCAAAGAAGTAGAGCTTTAAATTAAAAAAAAGAACTTTACTTTGTTAAAGAGCTCTCTGTCTTTCGGGTTGTTTCATTCTGTCTCTGTCTCTTTTTTTAGGTTGAAGCCTCTGTTCCCGAAGCAGGGCTCTCTAAAGGGCTGTTTCAGGAACGTGAAGGCCCAGGACTCTCACATCGACCTGAAGAGGATGACCAGTTCTGGAGTCAGTTTTGGCTGTGACAGTGATCTCCTGGTAAGAAAACACCGGTCACCATTCAGTTTGTGTAAAGGGGATTAAGAGTAGTTTTTTATACCTGTGCATCAGCGATAGCCATGGCTGGAGGCATTATGTTTTTAGATTGTTCATCCTTGAAATTGTCCGTCCATATGTCCATCCTATTCTAGTGAAAGTGAAAATCTCAAGAACACCTAGAGGGAATTTTTTCAAATTGGCACAAGCGTTCACTTTGACAAAAGAATGAACTGATAAGAATTGGATGGTCAAATGTCAAGGTCACTGTGATCGAACGTCCAGCTCATTCTTGTGAATACAACATCTCAGGAAAGCCATGAATGAAATTCCTCAAATTTGGCACAGATTTCCACTTGGACTCAACAATAAACTGATCGGACTTTGGTGGTCAAGGTCATGTGGACCTAGATAAAAGTGTTTTTGTCCATAACTCAAAAATTCTTATAAGATTAAAGTTCACACAAATGTCTTATAGGGTAAAATGATGAAGTGATGACATTTTAGATCCAAAAAGTCAAAGGTCAGTTTCACTGTGAATTCATAATGTTATGCAAAAACACTTTTCTGGCCATTACTCAACGTCATATCTCAGGAGCAGAAGGGCAGACATGTGGTCAGATGCTAAATTGGTGACTCTAATCCTGAAACTGTGCTGATTGTATAGATCTTCTGTGCTGCCTGGGGCAATATATGTGTGAAGCATCCATGTTTTCACAGACATGGATGTAAACTCTTAAAATTTTAAGAACATTAGACATTTTCTAATTCAGTTCTGACAAGTGATTGTGTAGTGTAGAAAACTATATCATCTGCGTAGAAATGAATCTCTTCTCCATTGTTTAACAACTGAAAACAGAACAGGTTTTGATATTCAGTTATATCCCTGATGTGTAGAAACAAAAACATATACACTCAGTATAACAGTGTGTCTTGACCTGTTGTATGTGTTCATGCAGGTGGCTCGTGAGGCTCATTTCTCTGGTCAGAGCTACCTGGACTTGGCTCCAACCAACATTCCCAGCCTCAGAAACAACTTCTACGCCAGCTTCAGCTTCAGAACCAACCAGAAGGAGGGTCTTATGTTCTACCACCACGATCAGGTCGGATGAGCCTCCGATCTATTCCTGTATCTTTCTCCTATGTTGTGTGTTTAGACTGATAAAAGCTGTCTCCCTCACTCAGTAAGCTTAAAAGTATCTTCCATGGTGTTTTCTGGTTGTTGGACTTTTATGTGTGTTAACCTGTGGCTGTTTTGTGTGTACAGGATGGAGTGTGTCAGGTGTTTTTGAATGAGGGCCACGTCGTGGTGAGAGCTGCAAACAGTGAGATTAAGACACTGAAGACGTACAACGATGACAACAGCCATTACATCGCTTTTTACAACAACATCAACGGGTAGGATGACTCCGCTGTTCTTTAAAACAGCTTCCAAATATCAACATGATGCCATCACACTTTGGTACAAATGTAGTTGTAGAGAACTTTCATGTGTTGTTCAAACTGACTGTGTGATCACTCGCCCTGCAGGATGCGTCTGTACATGGACGACGTGCTGGAGAAAGCAAAGGAGGGCATCCGAGTGGACAGCAGGGGGCGTGGTGTGACAAGCACACAGGGAAGCACCTTCCTGGGAGGAACGCCCAACCAAGGCCTCACCAACCTCACCGGATGTATCAGCAATGTTTTCATCAAGAGGTGAGAGGAGCAAGCAGGAAGAGCACACATAGCTCAGTCGAAAACTTTGAGTTATTCCTAGATTTAAACTGTTGATGGAAACTTGATGTGTTGAGCGTTAGATGGGCAGGCACTTTGGCATAGTTTGAGCAGTGACGTGGGCGCTGTGCTGAATTACTGTGGTGAAGAGAGAGCTGAGCCAGAAGGCAAAGCTTTCGATTTACTGGTCCATCTACGTCCCAACCCTCACCTATGGTCATGAGCTTTGGGGAGTGACCGAAAGAATGAAGTCGCAGATACAAGCAGCCAAAATGAGTTTCCTGGGGAGGGTGGCTGGGCTCAGCCTTAGAGATAGGATGAGAAGCTCCAAGTAGAGCCACTGCTCCTTCATAACGCGAGGGCCAGCTGAGGTGGTTTGGGCATCTGATCAGGATGCCAACTTGGCGCCTCCTGTTAGAGGTTTTCTACGCTCATGCCATTGGTAGGAGGCCCCTGGGCAGACCCAGAACACGCTGAAGGGAATATAGATCTCATCTGGTCTGGGAACGCCTCAGGGTCCCCCAGGAGGAGCTGGAAAGTGTTGCTGGGGAGAGGGACATCTGGAGTAATTTGCTCAGCCTGCTGCCCCCGTGATTGGCCTTGGATTAGCGGATATGTATGGATGGATGATAGAAACCTCCATATATGAGGTATATATGTGTGTTAATGAAAACAAAAAAAAAAAAAAAAGTGTTTAATTTCTCAGCAAGTCTTCTCAACAGAAAAAACCCAACAATGAATTTATCCTCTCACTTAAAGTTTGTGAACAACAGAACGTAACCACATTCAGAAAAGCTAAAACTATTATAAATGTCTACAACAGGCAAGAAGAGATACTCACGGCCTTTGCAAATGAAATTCATGACTTTTAAGTATCTTTTTCAAGGCATCTGGTAATTTTGTCTGACGATCGAAGCAGGAGACACATTAATACAGAAGGAGTTCTGAAAAAAGACCTGATGTATTTATATGTAACCTGCTGCTGGTTATAGTTTATGTTTGAAATGTTTGTGTGTTTGGCTCTTGTCTTCAGGACAACGAGTCCTCAGATGGTTTTGAACCTGCTGAAAGCTAAAGAAAACGTCAACGTTCCTCTGGACTGTCCCGCTGCCAAAAAACCTCAGCAGATCGTCACTGCCCAGCCCAAACACAGCAACAAACCCAAGGTACGCGCACACACACACACGCACACAAAGCAAGTTCTGCTTTTCCCACAAATAAAAGACGAACTAGACAAAGTGTGTGCAGACATAAACAGCAGACAGAAGTGAACCTCTGTACCCAGTGATAAACTCATATTAAATGTACTCTGTCTCTCTCAGGGAAAGCACAAGAAGCCGTCGGGGTCTCGCAGCCGTAACACCAGGGAGTCGTGTCAGGGGGAGCAGTCAGACCAGGAGATCGGAGCGACACACTTCAGCGGCTCCACACACAGCTACCAGAGATACGACTCTCTGGCCAGCTCTCTCAGCTCGATGTGAGTGTCAACACAAACTGGATTATGTGCATTTGCTTTCTTTTCAAAAGTGCTGGGTTTTTTGTAGTCATAAGATCATTGGTGTCATCGAGAATAATATCTCATAAGGATGTTTTATTTAGCTACGCTGTCTCTGAATGACGGTCCACCACTGCAGTCCAGACTGAAGTTGTTTTTAAGCTCTATTAACCCACTGAACACTAAACTAAAGACAAAGTAAGCGACTAGCTGGTGAAAAACAACTGAAACATTTAGCAGCTAAAAAGCCACATACTTTTCCCTGGTTGTGGTGGAGCCCAAACCTGAGCTAAATGGAGTGAGTATTGGACTTGCATTCATCAAGTAAATACAGGGATGTTTTTCAACACACAACCAGGAATGTTTTTCAGCTTGTTGTGGCCAAAAAAGGTAAATTCATTTATCTTTAAAAATGTCATAAGATGTTGGGGAATGTCTGTAAGTTAATATTTAATCACCCCTCTCTCTCGCTGTGTCTGCAGGCCTCACATCTCCATGGCGGTGAGGATCAACTCCTCTGATGGTATTGTGCTGTACGCAGCTGGCGGGCAGCGCGGCGCAGCAGTGATGTCACTCAGCGTGTTGGACGGCCACTTGCTGCTCCTGTTGGACGGAGGGAAGAGGAAGGTCAGCCTGCGCAGCCGCAAGAAGTACAACGATGACCATTGGCACACGGTGAGTTCGCACGCCAGGGTCACATGACTGGTCCTATCCAGGAAGTGAATTTATCTGTGTGACATTGTTTCATCTCATAATTAGTATTTTCTATCACCCAGACATGTCACACAGTGTCGTGTGTCTGAGTCACCTCAGTATCTCACCTGCTCTGCCTCTGTCTTGTGTCACCTCAGGTGTTTATAAAGCGTGAAGGAGAGAAGATCAGTCTGATCGTGGACGGCATCAGCGCTCAGTCGAAGAAAATCCCCGGAGGAGACAGGACTCGTCTCACGGGGCCATTATACATCGGAGGAGTCCCGCCCCTACTGACGGTAAAACATTCAAACTATATAACACACATGAGAGCTACCTGACCAGGTGTGATAACAGGTATACTAGAGATAAATAATAGGCTTTTTCTACCTTTGTTAGACTGTAATTTATAGAGCTACAGCTCAATAACTAAACCTGACACCATCATCAGTCCAGTTACTAAGAAAATGAATTATATGTTGGTTAATATGGTTGGGCCGGTGAGCAAGTTTTCATATTGGTTTGATATTGAGCCAAACACCAGACTGGACCAGTATACCAAATCTTACCAGGTGTCACGCTTGACTCAGCAGACAGTCCTGACTGGAACTGACACACATTTTATGTTCTGATATTTACTGGACATGACAGTATCACCAACAGCAAGTAGCCTCGCTCACCAGAAACTTTCAGCACCCTGGCGCTCTCTCTCCAGCAGGACTTTACCCTATTTAGGTGTCTGTTGTAAAATTAGAAGGTGTCCTGTTGATTATTCCTCATTTCAACTTCATGAATCAGTCGAACTTCGTCCATTGTGGCGCTTTCAAAGCAAGTGACAGATGTGAGTAGAAACAGGACGTCCAACAAAAGTTCAGCTCACAACAAAAGGGACATTATTTAGGACATCTCTTATGTCGGCTTAAAATTGAAATGTTGTCATATTGGTGCAGTTTTGGTTCTATTGCCATGTCTCCTCTTGTCCCCCCAAAACACATGGATTTTTAGTTGTTTTGTTTTGGTGATAACTCTCACTCATGTGCCGTTTGCTCACTGCATCGCCTCCAATACCTACATTTGGTCTGAATATAAAGAAATATGGTTAGAGCCTATCTATGTGGAGGAAGGGTCATACATTTTCCCCCAGTCACTCATGGAAAAATATCTGTTGCTCTGAAGAGGGACAAGATAAAAAATGTTAAGTAAAATGTAAATAAGAAGTACATAAACCTAAAACAAGAATATAAAATAGAACAGAAACTAAAGAAGCGACATCAAAGACAAAATTACAAGACCAAAGTGACAGTGGTGTGATCTATATAATAAAAACTCTGTGTGTGTCTGTGTGTCTGTTCCACGTTTTTGTCCTCACTGACTTGGTCAATCCATGTGAAATTTGGCACAGTGGTAGAGGGTCATGGGAGGATGCCAATGAAGCAATATTACATCAATTGGCCAAAGGGGGGCGCTATAGCAACCGATTGAAATTGCAAACTTTGAATGGGCATATCTCATGCCCCGTATGTCGTAGAGACATGAAACTTTGCACAGAGATGCCTCTCCTCATGAGGAACACATTTGCCTCAAGAACCCATAACTTCCACTTATATAGATTTTCCACCATTTTGAATTTTTTGAAAAACACTTCAAATGGATCTCTTCCTAGGAAGTTTGAGCGATCTGCATGAAACTGGGTGAACATAATCTAGGGACCAATATCTAAAGTTCCCTCTTGGCAAAAGTTGGAAAACTTACTAAAACTGAGCTTCTATAAGGCAATGAATATTGCGGAGGGCGTGGCTCATCACATAAAGGTGTATAACATCTCAAGGGTTTCACCCATCACCACGCAACTTTGTAGGCATATGACCACACATAATCTGAGGGGACCCCTCCATTATTGACCCCATCAAACAAAATGGGGGCGCTAGAGAGCTCATTTCTTATCTAGGCCTAACCGCCATATGGATTTTTACTAAACTTGGTAGATATGTAGAACAGGACGCCTCAAGGTGACTGGAGAAATTTAACTCTAATTGGCAACTGGGTGGCGCTATAACAACAGAAAAATGCTTCAAAATGGCTAAAATGCGACCGATCGCTGTGGCTCCCCCTGTGGACCAATGTTGGTGTTGTTTCTAATGTTTGGTATGACTAAGTCATGGTATGGTATGCTGTACATAATCATGGAAACTGTCAGTGTGTCATTCTGTCAGTCAGTCATTCTGTCTGTCCCACGTTTTTCTACTCACTGACGTGGTCAATCTATGTGAAACTGCACATAGGCATTGAGGACTGGCATAGGTAGAAGGTGACAAAGCTACCAATGGCTATGGACTAGTTATTATCTGAATGTGAAAATCTGTGAACTCACACATTGACTCAAACACAGAAATCACACATCTATTCTGTTGTAATGACTTCCTGTCTGTGTTGTTTTGTTCTAAACTTCAGGCTCCAGGCTCTGGTGGTTTCGTTGGTTGTGTCAGGGACCTGAGGCTGAACGAAGCCCCCGCAGGAAGCCCCACTCACAGCCAGGGGACGGTGCCCTGTTTCCAGGACCCTCTACAGCCTGGAGCATATTTCTCTGGCCAGGGAGGACACATCGCAATCGGTACTTATCATCATCGCTCTCCTGTCATGGTGTCTCCTCTTGTTTGAGTCCTGTCGTGTGCTGACTGAGAGCTGTCTCTCTGCCTACAGATGAGTCTTTAGTTCTGGGTCGGGATCTGGAGATCCAGTTGGAGGTTCGGCCTGTGTCAGACTCTGGGCTGCTATTGCATGCTGGGATGTCACCTGACCAATACCTGAGTTTGGTCCTCAGCCAGGGACAGGTGAGAGGAAGCCAAAGAGAGTTGTTTTTTTTTTGATTGAAAAATAAAGCATGATAATTGAACTAAAATAAAAACCTGACCATGGGGATTCGGTGTGTGTGTGTGTGTGTGTGTGTGTGTGTAGGTGACAGTTTCATTAAACAGCGGTAAAGGTGAATTCTCTACCTCCTTCACTCCTGAAGAACCTCTATGTAATGGACGCTGGCACACCATCACAGGTGAGTTCAAGACAACAGATCATTATTCGTCACTGTGTTGTTGCCCTGTTGTAACACTAAGATAATTATGTCATTGTGTCTCCAGTGGTAAAGAAGAACAACGTCCTGCAGCTCCATGTTGATGCAGCCAGTGAGCACAGTGTCGGCCCAAGACAGAGCCGCTCTGCAGGGGCCAAAGAGACCGTTTACCTTGGAGGGGTTCCCAGTGAGTACTTCTTCTTCTTTCATGCCAAAATCATGTCCCATGTGTTTACTTCTCATGTTGAGTATAAAGGTAGTTTTTAATGAGGTCACGATATTAACGATCAAGGTCAGGTCCACCTACACTCACCGGCCACTTTATTAGTGAGCCAAAATGCCTTGTTGATGCCAGAGGTCAGAGGAGAATGGCCAGACTGGTTCAAGATGATAGAAAGGCAACAGGAAGTCAAATAAGTGCTGGTTCCAACCAAGGTGTGCAGAAGAGCATCTCTGAAGCAACAACACCTTGTCCAACCTTGAAGCAGATGGGCTACAGCAGCAGAAGACCACACCAGGTGCCACTCCTGTCAGCTAACAACAGGAAACTGAGGCTACAATTCACCAAAACTGGACAATAGAAGATTGGAAAAACCACATTCAGATGGAAGCATGGATCCATCCTGCCTTGTATCAACGCTTCAGGCTGCTGCTGGTGGTGTAATGGTGTGGGGGAGATTTTCTTAGTACCAACTGAGCATGGTTTAAACACCACAGCCTACCTGAGTATTGTTGCTGAGCGTGTCCATCCCTTTATGACCACAGTGTACCCATCTTTTGATGGCTACTTCCAGCAGGATAACGCACCATGTCACAAAGCTCACACCATCTCAAACATGACAATGAGTTCACTGTACTCCAATGGCCTCCACAGTCACCAGATCTCAGTCCAATAGAGCACCTTTGGGATGTGCTGGAACGGGAGATTCTCATCATGGATGTGCAGCCGACAAATCTGCAGCAACTGTGTGAATTAAGGCAGTTCTGAAGGCAAAAGAAGATGGCACCAACTGGCACTAGCAAGGTGTACCTAATAAAGTAGCCGGCGAGGGTCTATGGTACAATATTGCCCGTGTGTTTTGAAACCTTAAACATCTCAACTCCCCCTGAAAGCGGCTATAATACTACGCAGTACAATGCAACTTTTACTTCTCTACAAAAGAGGAGTTTTTCTTTTATTCATGCAGTGACAGGTTGTTGACACAGGTGGGTGTTTTGATCGGCTGGTTGGAGTTTAACATCAATTTTCAGCTGTCTGGTGGCTTCTTACTGCTCTCGCTCTTGCTCACTTTAAAATGCTGTTCCTCTCTCTGTCCACCAGATGGAGTCACAGTTCCTGGTCTACCTGCCGGCCTGCCATCCTTCCACGGCTGCATCCGCCTCGCGACCATCAACCACAGACCTGCCATGTTGTCCAAACCCCTGGCTGTGCACGGAGCTGTGGGGACGCAGGGCTGCCCACACATGTAAACCCAACATACACACACACACACACACACAGTCTTATCCTCACATTCCCCAACTACAAATTACTGGTGGTGGGTGTCATGTTACTGTAGCTAATTTAAAATATATATATTAATATTTATTTTCTATTTTCAGAAAAATGTATATTTTATATTTTACAGTTTGTCGTTGCAATATTACTGGTTTGTTTTTGTGCTACAGGGTGCTATAACACGTGTCTGCACACAGAGATGCACTGATACAGGTGACTGCTGCAAAATATCAAATATCGATCAGAAATCAATTCTAAAAAACAAAATGTGTGTATATTGTAAATAAAGGCAACACAGCTTGATTTTTCTTGCTTTTGCAAACACAGATAATCTTGAGCCGCATATATTAAAGGATGTATACAGCTGTTTATCGTGCATCTCTAGCAGAGAATGTTAAATACCTACTGAGTCGGTACACTGTGAACACTGTAATGTATGAGCAACGTCCTCAGGCAGCGCAGATGGCAAACGTTTCCTGTAACTGGGACTAGGACTGGACTTTTGGGAACATCAGAGTTAATTGATTCTCAGTGATTTTTGTATTAAATAATGAATAAATTTAAAATTCAACTAGCTGCATAGAAGCAGAGAAGAGGAGATAAGAGCAGGTGTTTTAGTCGCTGCTCCAACACTGTTTTGATGTGTTATGGCCTTAACTGTCTTTCCCCCTCTACATTAGGGTTTTAAACGGAAGCTGAGAACAGTCGACCTTGCTTTTATTTCTTGAGACCGACTTAATTCTTTCATGATCTCAAGAAAATAAGCTTTGTTATCTCAACAAAACAAAGGGTTGTTTCCTGTTATTATGTTTATCAGAGACAGTTCACGCAGAAGAGTGGGTTGTTTGCATCCCTGAAATCAGGTGTAATCAGATGAACCAGACACACTTAATAATCTCTGTAATTATTTCTTGATCTGGAGAAAACAAGTCGATCAAGAAAATTATCTTGTTGCATAATCGCCATTTGTTTTTTTCAAGAATCAACATAAATTAACCTGTTATCACAAGAAAATGAGATTTGTTTTCTCGAGATGATTGAATAATTAACTCATCTGGAGATATCGGGGTTCAAAAAATAATTCCAAGTACGCCCATTCTTGGCTTCCTTGTGTATAATGACTTTAATTTTCTTTTCTCCTCTTCATTAAGGTTTTGTATGGAAGTCAAGAACAGTCTTTTTTTGTATGTCTAATTTTTAGATCAAGTTAATTTTTTCATTATCCCAAAGGAATAAGCTTGGTTATCTCGACAAAACAAAAAGTCGTTTCTTTTTATTTCTCGTTTATCAGACAATTCACGCAGAAAAAGTGAGTTGTTTGCGTCCCTTAAATCAGTGATTTAATGAAGTTTAATGAATACTCATTTTTGAATTTAAGAACAACTATTCAAAAAGTGATCAATTATCCTGTTGAGAAATTGCTTATTTGTTTTCTTGAGTATCGACAAATTAAGCCATTATCACTTTCGATAACAAAATTATTAACTCATTATCTCAATATAAAGGCATTAAAAAAAATTATTTCAAGTACGGCCGCTCTCAGCTTCCACAGTTAGATTAAACAGCAACAACTTAATCAGAAGTCAGTTTTCTCCTCCTCCTTACACACAGTGTTGGAAAGTCAAAAGATTAATTCCACCATGAAGCAAGACAACATCATAACTGTCCCATCTGTGAGGTCACATCCAGGTTGCAAGCAGCGTTTCCCATCTCTATTCCGTCATAAATGTAAACATGTACCAAACATGAGTGTGAAGCTTGTATGTAATATAACCACTTTATATAAAAAAATGTCACCGAAAGAATAAGCTGTTCCCTCCCCACACTCCCAGCCCCCCATGTGTTGTAAATGTATTTTTTAAATAAAGTTTTTAATACAAACTGTAGTGTCGAGTGTTTGTTTCCCATCTGCAGAAGAAGAATCTTGAGGTGAGTTGTTTTTGTTTGCTAATATGATTTTTATTATCAAGAGTGAATCACAAAGACTCGGGCTGTGACAGTCTGTGGAACAACAGGAAGAAAACAAAATCTAACGTAAGGCTCAGTCCCTGCGATGTTTCATAACTCCTTTCAGAATAAAAGTGATGGTCAGTATAAAAACACAGAGCTGTTGATAATGTCAGTCACATGGTCATCACAGTGAAAACTGGCCAAACGTTCACGTGTCAACCGCTCTGCTAACCCTGTGCTGTTGATCCTGAGCGAGGAGCAGAGTGTTGCCTTTGGTATAGAGAAGTGTCAGACAGCATTAACGACAGGAGGGGAAAGAAAAAGTAACAAGGAGGAAAAGGAATCACAGATTTTACTGAGGCTTGGCAGAGTGTGGTCTAATCCAGACTCATGTCCTCGTCGTCTTCCTTCTTGTCTTTGGCGTCTCCTTTGTTGCCCTGCATGGCTTTGGCAAACGCCTCCACATCTGACAGAGGGACAAAATACAAACATATAATTATGAATAAATAACAGAGGAAATAATGTTACAAAAATTAGGACTTTTTTTTAAATCTAACTCAGTTTTAACTTTAAGACCAAAAAAAAAACATTAACCAACATCAGTTCAACTTTTGGTCGAGGACAATTTTGTCCAATTACATGTTTTTTTGCAACATGACTATTTGTCTGGTGGTGGGGATGAGGGTCGAGCAGAACTGGGAAACATCTGCCATTTGTTGGGAATTTTGGGTTCTTCACTCTGCATGTGGGATGTGTGCAGAGTTTGAAAAACTTTTTGCATTAAACACACCGAGCCTTGTGTGCATTGCCTTGTACCGGTTTCAGCCATGCAACAAAATCCTGGTAACATAGTCAATTTTGTCTGAATTTGCACCTCCCCATGTCGTATCCCAGCTGAAAATGTGAGTATTGTTGGTTCCGCTATCCTCATGTTGAGGATTTATAAATTCCTACTATCTATGTCTCTGCATTTTTTTTTTTCAAAAGCCAACGACCCCCTTAGCGAAAAGCAGTGTCTGGGTACTACTCTAGTGCCTACTCTGTACCAACGTTTAAGGCTGCAGAGGCAGGTAGCGTCTGAGGTTGCTAAGTGACCATAACCAGCACCGTATCACAGACGACTTACCAGAACTGACCTTCTTCCAGGTGTTGTTTTGTAAGTGTGTATTAGGCCGAAAATACTGCCAGTGGCACAGATGTACAGCTCTGGGCAGCCCTTCACTAAAATTATTCACTTTACTATATTTATCACAGACTGATAATAACGGACTAAGAGAAAGACATCTGCCAGCTGTGAATGGTTGTTCCTTGTCATGTGACATGCAGTGCGCGCTGCTGCGTTCCAGAAGTTGAACTGCAGTTGTTGCATCTTGAGAAATAGGCACTCTGGAACACCTGTGTGCTGCAGTTGCGTCTCTTTGGTTTGAGCGCGCCTGTCGCACGTCTAAATTTAAAACAATTAATCTGAGGGCATACAGCCCCTTAAAAGCCATCAGACTCCTTTGGCAAAAACTGTCATTTTACCCCACAGGACACAGGAATACCTTGTTTACTGCTGCCTTGATCAGTTACTTTGTGTTATTGTGTGATTTTTGGGTCAGAACTAAATTGATGTCCACAGCACTGCATTGCTCCTGTGCTGATTAGCAGTCAGAGCAGTGTCGCTACTTTGGCAGATCATTGGCACCCAACTCCCAAAGAAGGCTTGGCTTAGTCATAAAGAAGCAGGCTAGAGTGTTGTATGTAGCAACAAGGTCATAGAGACACCTATGTCAGGTAACATGGGAAAATGTTTTTAGGGGGGGCTTAGGAAAACAGCATTTTTAACCAAAAATTAAATGTTTAGAACGTAAGGAACACACCAGGAAGCTGAAGAATGATTAAAAACTTAAACAAATAACGGACCTGCCCTTTAAAGGAATAGCTACATGTTTTTCAAGTCTATCGTCTACAGCGTGTGTCTCACCTCCTCGGTTGGCGGCGTCCACAGCTTCTGCCGGCAGACCAAACTGACTCATGAGAGGGCCGAGCTGCCCGGAGGCCAAGGCACTGCTGAACATGCTCATGGACTGAGGGAGGGAGGAATCACAGTCAGTGCGGTTTGAGATCAACATGTTGGAGGTTGTTATTTCACTTAAAATGGTCTTGATGAGAATGTGAGTGTTTATTTGGAGCTTCTTTGTGTGTATCTGTTACCTGTTGGAACTGAGGTGAGTTGATTGTGTTCTGGATCTCCTCAGCGCTCTGCGGTAAACTTTCTCCACTGGGGAGGAAGGGCAGGAGCCTCTGCTGGACCTCAGCGTTAGCCAGGATGGGAGCCATCATCTCCGGGGTGCAAACACTTGCAAGGTCCACTGCAGAACAGGAGAGGAGTCCTGTTAGTCATATTTACTGAAACACTCCTGGATTTACTCACTGTTCTGTTTTATTCTTTTCTCCACTGACCATATTTCTGTTCTCTGCCTCCCTCATACAGCTGATGCTCATATTCATGCTGACTCAGCACCATACCAAGAATACTGCCCCACATTCAATCATCTGTCACTCACCCGCTGTTCCCTGAGCAGCCGACGCCGCTGGGACGTTCATGGTGGCGAGGATGCTCTGAAGGTCACTGAGCTGGATGGGCTGGTGGGAGGTAGGGCTTCCAACAGAGGCTGGGGCCAGGGGAGTCTGAGCTGAGGCTGCAGATGAGACAAACGAGGACAGGTTCAGAGCAGGGTGTCTACAGGTATCAGACTTTAATGTAATGCCTTTAAGACCCTTTTAATATAAGTTATAATCAAATTTAAGGATGATTTTTGGACAAATCATCTTTTTCTTTTATAGGAATTGCAGGAAAATATAAAGATAAGTAGTATGTATGTGGTTATGGTTATTACAGTGAGTTAGGTTCATTGACATTTTGCCAAAGACATTATCAGGTTCAGGATTCTTAATTAACATTCACACACAATAATAGTACTGCACTCTGTGTACCTGGTGTGGAGGGAGCAACACTGGTGGGGGAGACAGCTGAGGCAGCAGGAGTCACAGGGGTGGTGGGGGCCTGAGAGGAGCTCACCCTGGGGGCTCCGCCTGATGACGGAGTGGCGGCTGCTGACTGGCTACGAGAGCTAAAGAGGAGGAGGAGGGGAAAGGAAGAGGACAGAGGAAAGAGATATCATTGATTCAGAGGTAAGTTATCATATTTTTACATATTTTATGGTCCATATCTGTGTTCTTTCTTACCTGGATGAGGAGCTGCTTGTGGCTGGTCCTCCACTGCCCAGCAAGTTGGCAAGTCCTGGTCCTGCTAGAGCTCCCAGGCCTCCTTAGACAAAGGCAACAGATCAAAAAGGGTCTAAATTGATGTCTGATTCTTTAAAACAAACAACAACTGTGAGCTTAGCTTCACTTTATGTTTATTAAAATAAATATGTCAAGCCAACTGATGTCACCACACAACAGTGTAGTTAGTTTTTAGATGGATATTCGACAGACATTCACTCCAGACCCAGCAGTGTCTTTTTAGTTTTACTTTCACCTGATGTTGGCAGCAGGTAAGCTCACCTCGCTGCCCTTCTGTTTACTGCTGGGGGTTGACATGGATCCTCAACTGTACTATGAACAGAACAGCGTCCACATGGCGTCAGCTGTCCACTGACTTTGAAAGTATGTCAGAGCCTTTACTGTCCTCATGTGTCTTAACATTCTCCAGTCTTGTTATACAGCAGCTCATTTGTAACATGCAAATACACATTTGTGTTTATTTTACTAAAGATTTCCCTGCTCTCGACAGATTAACAACTATCTGCAGTGGTGCGCGTGCAGGTGTATACATATCAAAGAATTATCCAGTGGTGCTCACCCAGTCCTCCCAGTCCTGTTGGTCCAATCAGCTGCATCAACTGATTGTGGCTCATATTTCCCAGCAGGTTTTGCAGGCCTCCCTCTCCTCCGAGTGCAGAGAGTTCGTGGCCACTGCCGCCTCCGCTTCCTGCCGCTCCGGGAATGGGAGGGTTGTTCAGGTACTCGTTCACCTTACGGCAGTACTCTTCATCCTTGTCACTCTTTGGCTCCTGGTGAATGGGACATGCAGGAATTCCTTGAAATCAGAGCTTACTTCCCCAAAGAACAAGGCAACAACAACACAGAAAAGCTCAGTTTGTATATTTTAACTTATTGTGCTCTTGTCTCTGATTCGCAAATGACCTAATTCTACAAACTAATAGATGAAATATGCATCAAAAAGTCAGTAGAAAATCTAATTTAACAGAAGAATATATATGTTGACACAAATGAGCCTGCAGGATGATACGACTTTGTTCATTTGACTAATATAATCCCTCCAGACTGGAGCAGATAAAAAGAGCAAACTGCTGGTGATAATAAATTATCTGCCTGACAAACACACTGATGACAGTCACACACACTCTGTCATCATGAGTGTAATAATCCCTCTTCTCTGCTCATTATTGCCTCCCTCTTAATTTCTCTCTATTGAACAACCATCTGCCTGGACATAAATGGACACAGATGTCATGCACTCACTAAGACAGTTTTCATTTCTCCCCCCATTAGGAAGACGATGAAAAACATCTTCCTCTCACCTGCATCCAGAAGAACAGTCTCTTGGATCCGGCCTTGAATTTCAGCACGAAGACGCGTCCGGTGGTGCACTGGCTCACCTTCTTGAATTCACAGTCATCAGGGAAGATGATCAGGTCCTGGGACAAAAAAGGCACAACATAAGACATTCACAGGAGAGAGATGGAGGGGGAAAACACTGAGGTTGCTCTGCCACAACAAATCAACATCAACCAATTACCAAAAGGGAAAACCAAGGCAGCAGCATCACTGCTGCTCTGAAATAAAGACACAGTCACCTAGCCTTCTCTGTAGAGTGCCAGCTAAATTATGATTCAGTGTGTCTGGACTGCTTGTATGAA